TCTACACCCCAACCAATAGCCCCTCTCTCCCCAACACCCCAACCACTAGCCCCTCTCTCCCCTCTCTCTCTAACACCCCAACCAATAGCCCCCTCTCTCCTCACCCCTAGCCTCCAGCCCCTTAACACTCTCTCCTCACTCCAGTCTTTCAGCAGCACCTGACGGGGCATGGCATGTCTGGCGAACCCCTGGCCAGAGAATCTACAGCACAGACAGAGGACAATGATACAACACAGACAGAGGACAATGATACAGCACAGACAGAGGACAATGATACAACACAGACAGAGGACAATGATACAGCACAGACAGAGGACAATGATACAGCACAGACAGAGGACAATGATACAGCACAGACAGAGGACAATGATACAGCACAGACAGAGGACAATGATACAGCACAGACAGAGGACAATGATACAACACAGACAGAGGACAATGATACAGCAGAGACAGAGGACAATGATACAACACAGACAGAGGACAATGATACAACACAGACAGACAATGATACAACACAGACAGACATTGATACAACACAGACAGACAATGATACAGCACAGACAGAGGACAATGATACAACACAGAGAGTAATAATAATAATAATATGCCATTTAGCAGACGCTTTTATCCAAAGCGACTTACAGTCATGCGTGCATACATTTTTGTGTATGGGGTGGTCCCGGGGATCGAACCCACTACCTTGGCGTTACAAGCGCCACGCTCTACCAGCTGAGCTACAGAGTAGCCTCCTGTAGTGTCTCTTCTGATACATCCACCTCTGTCGCCCTTCCTCATATGCGGTGGAAAATGGCAGAGCTACAGTACTGTTGTCAGAACAGGAAACACCCCCCAAAAATCGGTCTTCTCACGAAAAACCTTTGTAGTGTCCACGGTTTGGCCCAACCTGGTCTCATAGCATTTTGTATTATTCTGTACGTAAATCCGAGACTCCATTTAGTATGATGTGTTACGTTTCGTACGGTATGTGTTAATTTGTTGATGTCCATCACCCATTTCAAATGATATGTTACCAATTACAATTCGTTTTATATGTTACGAATTTGCAAAACATACTATATGTTATTACATTCCAAAACGTATGATATGTTACGAATTCTGGCTAGGTGGCTAATGTTAGCTAGCTTGCTAATGTTAGCTAGGCTAGGGGTTAGGGGTTAGGGTTAAGGTTAGGGTTAAGTTTAGAAGTTAGGTTTAAAAGGGATAAGGTTAGTGTTAGGGGAAGGGTTAGCTAAATGATACCCCATAATGACAAAGTGAAAACTGGTTATTAGAATTTTTTGCAAATGTAATAAAAATAACGTAATACCTTAATTACAAAAGTATTCAGACCCTTTGCTATGAGACTCGAAATTGAGCTCATTGAGCTGAAAATAGCTGTGCAGCGACGCTCCCCATCCAACCTGACAGAGCTTGAGACGATCTGCAGAGAGGAATGGGAGAAACTCCCCAAATACAGGTGTGCCAAGCTTGTAGCGTCATACCCAAGAAGACTCGAGGCTGTAATCGCTGCCAAAGGTGCTTCAACAAAGTACTGCTTAAAGGGTCTGAATACTTATGTAAATGTGACATTTCAGCTTTTTATTTTTAATACATTTGCAAACATTTCAAAAACACAGTTTTGGCTTTGTCATTATGGGGTACTGTGTGTAGATTGATGAGGGGGGAAAACATTTTGATCCATTTTAGAATAAGGCTGTAATGTAACAAAATGTGGAAAAAGTCAAGCGGTCTGAATACTTTCCGAATGCACTGTATGTAAGTTAGGGGATTTCAGCGATTCCTCTGCCAAGTGTTGACGGAGTTCTTCCACTACGCCACACCACACTATCGGATTTCAAAAGCTGAAAAAATACCTCAGCATCCCCATCCTCCTCTTCCTCCTCTCCTCTTCTCTCTGACCTCTAACCTCTTTAGATTTATAGAGATTTATAAAAGTCAGCTCCACCAACTCTGACCAGATGAAACATTCCATTACAAGTCTGTCTGATTGACTGACTGCACCCGGCCAGGACCACTCCTGTCTCAAATGGCACCCTATTCCCTATTTAGTGCACTACTTTTGACCAAGGCCCATAGGGAACAGGGTGCCATTTGGGACGTAGCCTAACCCTCACTTCAATACCTCACCACCAGACTATGCTGCACAACACAGTAGAAAATAACACACCTGAAGGCAGTAAATCATACAGAACTGATCTAGATAGGATCTGTGTTACAGCCTGGATATACACAGGGAACACAGAACTGATCTAGATAGGATCTGTGTTACAGCCTGGGTATACACAGGGAACACAGAACTGATCTAGATAGGATCTGTGTTACAGCCTGGATATACACAGGGAACACAGAACTGATCTAGATAGGATCTGTGTTACAGCCTGGATATACACAGGGAACACAGAACTGATCTAGATAGGATCTGTGTTACAGTCTGGATATACACAGGGAACACAGAACTGATCTAGATAGGATCTGTGTTACAGCCTGGATATACACAGGGAACACAGAACTGATCTAGATAGGATCTGTGTTACAGCCTGGATATACACAGGGAACACAGAACTGATCTAGATAGGATCTGTGTTACAGCCTGGATATACACAGGGAACACAGAACTGATCTAGATAGGATCTGTGTTACAGCCTGGATATTCACAGGGAACACAGAACTGATCTAGATAGGATCTGTGTTACAGCCTGGATATACACAGGGAACACAGAACTGATCTAGATAGGATCTGTGTTAGAGCCTGGATATACACAGGGAAGATGACAAGTACAGTGGGGGAAAAAAGTATTTGATCCCCTGCTGATTTTGTACGTTTGCCCACTGACAAAGAAATGATCAGTCTATAGTTTTAATGGTAGGTTTATTTGAACCGTGTGAGACAGAATAACAACAAAAAAATCCAGAAAAACGCATTTCAAAAATGTTATAAATTGAATTGCATTTTAAAGAGGGAAATAAGTATTTGACCCCTCTGCAAAACATGACTTAGTACTTGGTGGCAAAACCCTTGTTGGCAATCACAGAGGTCAGACATTTATTTTAGTTGGCCACCAGGTTTGCACACATCTCAGGAAGGATTTTGTCCCACTCCTCTTTGCAGATCTTCTCCAAGTCATTAAGGTTTCGAGCCTGACGTTTGGTAACTCGAACCTTCAGCTACCTCCACATATTTTCTCTGGGATTAAGGTCTGGAGACTGGCTAGACCACTCCAGGACCTTAATGTGCTTCTTCTTGAGTCACTCCTTTGTTGCCTTGGCCATGTGTTTTGGGGCATTGTCATGCTGGAATACCCATCCACGACCCATTTTCAATGCCCTGGCTGAGGGAAAGAGGTTCTTCCCCAAGATTTGACAGTACATGGCCCTGTCCATCGTCCCTTTGATGCGGTGAACTTGTCCTGTCCCCTTAGCAGAAAAACACCCCCAAACCATAATGTTTCCACCTCCATGTTTGACGGTGGGGATGGTGTTCTTGGGGTCATAGGCAGCATTCCTCCTCCTCCAAACACGGCGAGTTGAGTTGATGCCAAAGAGCTCGATTTTGGTATGATCTGACCACAACACTTTCACCCAGTTCTCCTCTGAATCATTCAAATGTTCATTAGCAAACTTCAGACGGGCCTGTATATGTGCTTTCTTGAGCAGGGGGACCTTGCGGGCGCTGCAGGATTTCAGTCCTTCACGGCGTAGTGTGTTACCAATTGTTTTCTTGGTGACTATGGTCCCAGCTGCCTTGAGATCATTGACAAGATCCTCCTGTGTAGTTCTGGGCTGATTCCTCACCGTTCTCATGATCATTGCAACTCCACGAGGTGAGATCTTGCATGGAGCCCCAGGCCGAGGGAGATTGACAGTTATTTTGTGTTTCTTCCATTTGCGAATAATCGCACCAACTGTTGTCACCTTCTCACCAAGCTGCTTGGCGATGGTCTTGTAGCACATTCCAGCCTTTTGTATGTCTACAATCTTGTCCCTGACATCCTTGGAGAGCTCTTTGGTCTTGGCCATGGTGGAGAGTTCGGAATCTGATTGATTGATTGCTTCTGTGGACAGGTGTCTTTTATACAGGTATCAAGCTTAGATTAGTAGCACTCCCTTTAAGAGTGTGCTCCTAATCTCAGCTTGTTACCTGTATAAAAGACACCTGGGAGCCAGAAATCTTTCTGATTGAGAGGGGGTCAAATACTTATTTCCCTCATTAAAATGCAAATCAATTTGTAACATTTTTGACATGCGTTTTTCTGGATTTTTTTGTTGTTATTCTGTCTCTCACTGTTCAAATAAACCTACCATTAAAATTATAGACTGATCATTTCTTTGTCAGTGGGCAAACGTACAAAATCAGCAGGGGATCAAATACTTTTTTCCCTCACTGTATCACTGTGACTGCTGTGATACCAGGGTACGTTTTTATACACAACCCCTTCAGGTTGAGTGGAGGGTCTGATTAATCACCCCCGTCGTTCTCTGCTCAGCGGACCATCACCAGGCTAATTACAGGTAATAGATTATGTCTGGATCAGATGGATGGATAGAGTACAGACAGTCCTCTGGGTGTCCAGTTCTGACTGGAACCTGTTAACCTGAGAAACCTATTTTCTCCCTTTCTCTGTATCCGGCATCCTCTCTTTCTCCCTCTCATTCCCTCTTTCCATGCTCTCTCTTTCCATACTCTCTCTTTCCCTCTCTCTCGGTCTTGATCACTGCAGCCATCAGAATGTTGACTTTGGACCTTGGAGTGAAAAGGAACACTGAGAAAGCAGCTGACCCCCCCCCCCCCCCCCCCCCCCCCCCCCCCACCCCCTTCCCATCACCCTCCCACAACCCCCTCACGCCTCCTCCCTCACCCTCTACACCCCTTGCCCCTCCACCCCCGCCACCCCTCTAGAGGGGAATGTCTTAAGGTGTGTTTTTTCAGCAGCACATATCAAGACGATCTGTTGATAGGACAGCCACAGGCTCAGTCACAGGTTGCGTCCCTATTGGGCTCTGGTCAAAAGTAGTGCACTATAAAGGGAATAGGGTACTATTTGGGACTCAAACACAACTTTCAGCTGTCCTGTTTGGATTAACAGTCATCTCTGGGGGTTTTTTCCTCACGTCTCTCTGTAGTCTAGTCGCTGCCTGATGTGAAGTTGTTGACTGATGTTGACAGATCACTATTCCTGACACTGCCTTAAGTACAGTAGTTCTATAGTATTAGCGTTAAAACAGTACAGTAGTGGTATAACATAGTAGTATTACTACGGAGTCTTAAAAACACAACTACCACACAGCTCAGCCACCCACCCACGTGTTAACCTGCCTGCCTGGCTCGGTCTGGCTGCGTTTACCTAAATTAGTTTACAGAACATTTACCCTACCCGATGTGAGATCGTTAGACCATTATTTACAGTAGGGATACAATAGCCTCTATCCGCAGCTGTGTGAGAGTGTGTGAGTGTGTGTGTGTGTGTGTGTGTGTGTGTGTGTGTGAGAGAGTGTGTGTGTGTGGCTTTGTGTTTTTCTTGTTCTTCTAGTGAAGCAACCAGAGAGTTCCTCCCAAAGTGTCTTTTCCCATGAAAACTTAAATGCGTTCCATTTGCAAACAGCGCTGACCTCAAACCCTCTTCGGTAATGATTCGTATTTAATCTGTCCGCGAGTACTCTTTTCTTCTAAGAAAACTTGGTAACACTTTACTTGACACCCAGTCATAACCATGTCATAATATCATAGCAGCTGACATAACACATATTTAGACCGGTTGTGACACACAGTTGAAGTCAGAAGTTTACGTACACTTAGGTTGGAGTCATTAAAACTCGTTTTTCAACCACTCCACATATTTCTTGTTAACAAACTATAGTTTTGGCAAGTCGGTTAGGACATCTACTTTGTGCATGACACAAGTAATTTTTCCAACAATTGTTTACAGATTATTTCACTGTATCACAATTCCAGTGGGTCAGAAGTTTACATAGACTAAGTTGACTGTGCCTTTAAACATCTTGGAAAATTCCAGAAAATGATGTCATGGCTTCAGAAGCTTCTGATAGGCTAATTGACAACATTTGAGTCAATTGAAGGTGTACCTGTGGATGTATTTCAAGGCCTACCTTCAAACTCAGTGCCTGTTTGCTTGACATCAAGGGAAAATCAAAAGAAATCAGCCAAGACCTCAGAAAAAAAATGGTAGACCTCCACAAGTCTGGTTCATCCTTGGGAGCAATTTCCAAACACCTGAAGGTACCACGTTCATCTGTCCAAACAATAGTACGCAAGTATAAACACCATGGACCACGCAGCCGTCATACCGTTCAGGAAGGAGCCGCGTTCTGTCTCCTAGAGATTAACGTACTTTGGTGCAAAAAGTGGAAATCAATCCCAGAACAACAGCAAAGGACCTTGTGAAGATGCTGGAGGAAACAGGTACAAAAGTATCTATATCCACAGTAAAACGAGTCCTATATCGACATAACCTGAAAGGCTGCTCAGCAAGGAAGAAGCCACTGCTCCAAAACCGCCATAAAAAAGCCAGTTTGCAACTGCACATGGGGACAAAGATTGTACTTTTTGGATACATTTCCTCTGGTCTGATTAAACAAAAATAGAACTGTTTGGCCATAATGACCATCGTTATGTTTAGAGGAAAAAGGGGGGTGCTTGCAAGCCGAAGAACACCATCCCAACCGTGAAGCACGGGGGTGGCAGCATCATGCTGTGGGGGTGCTTTGCTGCAGGAGGGACTGGTGCACTTCACAAAATAGATGGCATCATGAGGAAGGAAAATGATGTGGATATATTGAATCAACATCTCAAGACATCATTCAGGAAGTTAAAGCTTGGTCGCAAATGGGTCTTCCAAATGGACAATGACCCAAGCATACTTCCAAAGTTGTGGCAAAATGGCTTAAGGACAACAAAGTCAAGGTATTGGAGTGGCCATCACAAAGCCCTGACCTCAATCCTATAGAAAATGTGTGGGCAGAACTGAAAAAGCGTGTGCGAGCGAGGAGGCCTACAAACCTGACTCAGTTACACCAGCTCTGTCAGGAGGAATGGGCCAAAATTCACCAAATTCATTGTGGGAAGCTTGTGGAAGGCTACCCGAAACATTTGACCCAAGTTAAACAATTTAAAGGCAATGCTACCAAACACCAATTGAGTGTATGTAAACTTCTGACCCACTGAGAATGTGATGAAAGACATAAAAGCTTAAATAAATAATTCTCTCTACTATTATTCTGAAATGTTACATTCTTAAAATAAAGTGGTGATCCTAACTGACCTAAGACAGGAAATATTTACTAGGATTAAATGTCAGGAATTGTGAAAAACTGAGTTTAAATGCATTTGGCTAAGGTGTATGTAATCTTTCGACTTCAACTGTATATTGTGTTATTTATGGGCTGGTTATGACACCTACATAAGAGTGTAAAAACCCACAAAACATTCCATTACACCATAGTCTACTTGTCAAGAGTATGTTTCTGTTATATAACATTTTCTGAAATTGATCGTATTAAGTTATTGTAATTGTGCACCACATTGACGTCGGACATGCACCTCCCCCAATGCTCTGTTGCTGATGACTGGGATGAACGCAGGAGCAGATTTCAGGAGCAGGACAAGACACCCTCTTTTTGACTGATGACTGACATAAGGGCCTGTACGTGATAGGCCTATCTGGCTCATATGAATATGATGGTCATAATGCTTCTTGACAGTGTCATAAAGTATATTTTCTACAAATTTAAAATATGATGAAAAAAAAAACAACTGTAAATAATTAATCACAACAAAGGACTTATGAAACAAACTTTCAAATGAAATTAAACTTCTTGGCAGGAAAAAAACAAAACACATTTGAGTAGATGTGGGATTTGACTCTTATGTAGGTGTCATAACCAGCCATAGAATAATGAAATATATAAAACAGGTGTAAATATATGGGTCATGACATGTTATGACATAGTTATGACCGTGTCTTAATGTTTTATGACTCTGGGAGTCAGGTGTTATAAAGGCTTTAATCATAATATGTTCACAGTCTATTTATAGAGAAGCAAGAGAGAATGGATATTTACATCATGTATGATACCTACATTGGGTCGGCAGGTAGTGAACCAGTAACCAAATGATTGCTGGGCAGGATCCCCCCGAGGCGTTGAAAACTCTGTTGATGTGCTCTTGAGCAAGGCACTTAACCCTAGTCGCTGTGAATAAGAGCATCTGCTAAATGACTCAAATGTAAATTGTCCAATCATTTTTGAACTTTTGCTGTTGTAAAGTGATATTCCAAGTATAAATACAGTAAAGTACACACAATAAAGAAAAAAAATACTAACATTTTGAGCAAAATATTGGTTTTTAGACAACTGCAAATTTCAAGGAGTAGGGCATTCAAAGAGTTGGTCTGATGGCAATCCGTGATGTCATCGCCCCCCCCGCTTAAGGAACAATAAGAACACTATGTTGGTCAATCGCACACAAGTTCCAACTGAAATTTGGCTTCTGCTTTGAACCCAACACCTCTTTTAGACACAATACAGGAGCAATAGAGAACCTCCAACCACTTGTGCTATGTCCTGACATACCTGGACCACCCTTTGTTAAGTAAATCAGGTGTTAAAATGAGGTAAAAAGGAGACTTGAGTGCCACTTTAAACCTACATAACTGTCCCATCTCTAACGTACACTGAACAAAAATATAAACGCAACAATTTCCAAAATGAAAATCAGTCAATTGAAATAAATTCATTAGGCCATAATCTATGGATTTCACGACTGGGCAGGGGCACAGCCATGGCTGGGCATAGGCGTACCCACTGGGGTAGCCAGGCCCAGTCAATCAGAATTAGTTTTCCCCCACAAAAGGGCTTTATTACAGACAGAAATACTCCTCAGTTTCATCAGCTGTCCGGGTGGCTGGTCTCAGACGATCCCACAGGTAAAGAATGAAAAAAATATATATATAATTATGCACTCACTAAGTCGCTCTGGATAAGAGCGTCTGCTAAATGACTAAAATGTAAATGTAATGTGGAAGTCCTGGGATGCCATCTACAGGAGGCAGCATGCCGTTACACCATATAAAAAAAACAACCCCACAGCTCCCCCTTGTGGCGGCACTGTCGACATGCACTAAATGACGAAGGAAAATTTACTGAACTAGTTTCTTAAAGAAATACAATAAATAAATAATATACGAATCAAAAGGTAAAAACAACAAAATGATTCTGATAAAGTCCACTGACGGCCAAAAAGTAACAATTTTAAGTTGAATTAGAGAAATAAAAGTATCACGTTTTTAAATTGTGAGCGAGAGTTGTGTTCTTGTGATTTTTGGTTGGTTGGTCCTCGTCTCTCGTTTGGGGTTGAGCCTCTCACCTTCTACTCCTCTCCAATAACACAATAACACACGGTGTTTTTCGGACATCATTTTATTATTAGCCAGTACAGGTTAACCGTGTTGTAAGGCTCCGTCGAACATACCGAGGAGGAATTCCTTCCAGACTTTCACACGGAGACAACTAATCAAACTGATACCAGTGAATGGCAATACACAGTTACCAGCCACCGTTGGTCGCATCTTCAGTAGAATCAATATACACTTAACATTTTATTAAAAATTGATAAATTGACCGATAGTGTTTTGAAGTAAATATATCTTACCGCTGCGGAGTACCTCAGACGCACGGACACGTTTACAGGTCTCACTACTCCTAGACTGCTAATAGAATAACTGACTGACTTTAATACTGAAGACGAACAGCAAAAATAACAACTATTTTAACTCCTTAGTCTCACCCTAGCTTCAACCCAGAGAAGAGTACAGTAATGACAGTCTCACCCTACCTTCAACAGTAATGACATTGATGACATCACCTAAGATACGTTTATTATTAGATGTAACCTGGCACAGCATGCATGTAAATACTCTTCATCCTTAATGGGAGGAGGTTTAAGATAATGCCTAAATTGAAGCGTGAAGCAGGAAAGGGTCTCTGGAACTGCTTGGTGGGGTACAGAAAAGTGTGCAAGTCGAGTGTGTGTGAGATATGTGATCCAATGCATGGACAGTGTGTGTGTGTGTGTGTGTGTGTGTGTGTATATATCTGTTAGTGTGTTCTCTCTCCACTGTTCTACTATATATACACACACAGGTGAAGTTGGAAGTTTACATTCACCTTGGCCAAATACATTTAAACTCAGTTTTTCACAATTCCTGACATTTAATCCTAGTAAAAATTCCCTGTATTAGGTCAGTTAGGATCACCACTTTATTTTAAGAATGTGAAATGTCAGAATAATAGTAGAGAGAATGATTTATTTCAGCTTTTATTTCTTTAATCACATTCCCAGTGGGTCAGAAGTTTACATACACTCAATTAGTATTTGGTAGCATTGCCTTTAAATTGTTTAACTTGGGTCAAACATTTTGGGTAGCCTTCCACAAGCATCCCACGATGAATTTGGTACATTTTGTCCCATTCCTCCTGACAGAGCTGGTGTAACTGAGTCAGGTTTGTAGGCCTCCTCGCTCGCACACGCTTTTTCAGTTCTGCCCACAAATTTTGTATAGGATTGAGGTCAGGGCTTTGTGATGGCCACTCCAATACCTTGACTTTGTTGTCCTTAAGCCATTTTGCCTTAACTATGGAAGTATGCTTGGGGTCATTGTCCATTTGGAAGACCCTTTTGCGACCAAGCTTTAACTTCTTGACTGATGTCTTGAGATGTTGCTTCAATATATCCACATCATTTTCCTTCCTCATGATGCCATCTATTTTGTGAAGTGCACCAGTCCCTCCTGCAGCAAAGCACCCCCACAGCATGATGCTGCCAACCCCCGTGCTTCACGGTTGGGATGGTGTTCTTCTGCTTGCAAGGCACCCCCTTTTTCCTCCAAACATAACGATAGTCATTATGGCCAAACAGTTCTATTTTTGTTTCATCAGACCAGAGGACATTTCTCCAAAAAGTACGATCTTTGTCCCCATGTGCAGTTGCAAACCATAGTCTGGCTTTTTTATGGCAGTTTTGGAGCAGTGGCTTCTTCCTTGCTGAGCTGCCTTTCAGGTTATGTCGAAATAGGACTCGTTTTACTGTGGATATAGATGCTTTTGTACCTGTTTCCTCCAGCATCTTCACAAGGTCCTTTGCTGTTGTTCTGGGATTGATTTGCACTTTTTGCACAAAAGTACGTTAATCTCTAGGAGACAGAACGTGTCTCCTTCCTGAACGGTATGACGGCTGCGTGGTCCCATGGTGTTTATACTTGCGTACTATTGTTTGTACAGATGAACGTGGTACCTTCAGGCGTTTGGAAATTGCTCCCAAGGACGAACCAGACTTGTGGAGGTCTACAATTTTTCTTCTGCGGTCTTGGCTGATTTCTTTTGATTTTCCCATAATGTCAAGCAAAGAGGCACTGAGTTTGAAGGTAGGCCTTGAAATACATTCACAGGTACACCTCCAAATGACTCAAATGATGTCAATTAGCCTATCAGAAGCTTCTAAAGCCATGACATCATTTTCCTGAATATTCCAAGCTGTTTAAAGGCACAGTCAACTTAGTGTATGTAAACTTCTGACCCACTGGAATTGTGATACAGTGAATTATAAGTGAAATAATCTGTCTGTAAACAATTGTTGGAAAAATTACTTGTGTCATGCACAAAGTAGATGTCCTAACCAACTTGCCAAAACTATAGTTGTTAACAAGAAATTTGTGGAGTGTTTGAAAAACGAGTTTTAATGACTCTAACCTAAGTTTATGCAAACTTCCGACTTCAACTGTAAAGTGAGTATACCAAACATTAGGAACCCGTTTTGCCCTCATAACAGCCTCAATTCGTCAGGTCATGGATTCTACAAGGTATTACAAGCATTCAACAGGGATGCTGGCTCATGTTGACTCCAATGCTTCCCACAGTTGTGTCAGGTTGGCTGGATGTCCTTTGGGTGGTGGACCATTCTTGATACACACAGGAAACTGTTGAGCATGAAAAACCCAGCAGCGTTGCAGTTCTTGACACAAACCGGTGTGCCTGGCACCTACTACCATACCCCGTTAAAGGGCACTCAAAACTTTTGTCTTGCCCATTCACCCTCTGAATGGCACACATACACAACCCATGTGTCAATTGTCTAAAGGCTTAAAAATCCTTCTTTAACCTGTCTCCTCCCCTCCATCTACACTGACTGAAGTGGATTTAACAAGGGACATCAATAAGGGATCATAGCTTTCACCTGGATTCACCTGGTCAGTCTATGTCATGGAAAGCGAAGGTGTTCCTAATGTTTTGTAAACTTAGTGTATGTGTGTATTTTCTGTTTCTGTGTGTATTTTATGTTGTGTGTGTGTGTGTGTGTGTGTGTGTGTGTGTCAGTGTATGTATTCGGTGTGTGTAACCTCCTCACGCTACGAGCGGCCCCAGGCTGAGCTCTACGTGGTGTGTGAGCCAGACGGCCTCGGTGGGGGCGTCGCCCTCCTCGCTCGGCCTTATGGGAGCCGCCAAGTTGCGGAAGTCGTGGCGGATCTTAAAGGACACGGTGACGTCACCGTCCTCCTCGCGCTGAGGGACCACCTTGATGAAGAAACCGATCTTATTGGATTTCCTGAAGGCCACCACGCTGGAGAGGAGACAGGAGCAGAGAGGGAAGGTTAGGAGACCAGGGGCAGAGCTCAAATGTCACCCTGTTCCCTATATAGTACACTAGTTTAAACTAGAGAGGGAAGGTTAGGAGAACAGGGGCAGAGCTCAAATGTCACCCTGTTCCTTTTATAGTACACTAGTTTAAACTAGCGCTAATGTCCTTTCTCCTCAGTTCTGTTATCGCCACTTAAGACTTACTCTGGGTCGTCCTGGAAGTCCTGAGGCTCAGCCAACTCATCGTATTCTGCTGCAGCATCCTTCCCTGCCAGGACCAACTCCATGGTAGGAACCATCACCTATGAACAACAATCACTATATCATCATCATCAACAACAGAGGTTAGGGGTGAGAGGTCAGCGGTAGGGTCGCAAAGGGAGGGTATATTACTGGAAACTTCCTACATTTACCAGTAAACTACCAGAATTTTGGTATCTTTCAATAATCTTCTGTAAAATAGCTCAAGACATCTAGTGGCCCTTTTGGGTACTTCAGATGATCACAGGCGTCTAATTATCTCTGGCCTTCCGTGTGGCCTTATCACAATATAATTAAAAATATATATATATTGATTTTTTAAAACATTGAATGACAAAGCTGTAAAACATCCTAAATATAAACCAGCACCTTAGTGAACACCATTGGTGGGCTTTGAGTTGGCAAGAAAGGCATTTCACTGTACTTGTGACATTAAAACCATTTGTGTTAATATGAGGGTTTCAGCATGAAATATCCTTGTAATATATATATACACATATACACACACACACACACACACACACACACACACACACACATACATACATACACAGTGAGTGAAAAAAGTATTTGATCCCCTGCTGATTTTGTACGTTTGCCCACTGACAAAGATATGATCAGTCTATCATTTTAATGGTAGGTTTATTTGAACAGTGAGAGACAGAATAACAACAACAAAATCCAGAAAAACGCATGTAAAAAATGCTATAAATTGATTTTCATTTTAATGAGGGAAATAAGTATTTGACCCCCTCTCAATCAGAAAGATTTCTGGCTCCCAGGTGTCTTTTATTCAGGTAACGAGCTGAGATTTGGAGCACACTCTTAAAGGGAGTGCTCCTAATCTCATCTTGTTACCTGTATAAAAGACACCTGTCCACAGAAGCAATCAATCAATCAGATTCCAAACTCTCCACCATCGCCAAGACCAAAGAGCTCTCCAAGGATGTCAGGGACAAGATTGTAGACCTACACAAGACTGGAATGGGCTACAAGACCATCGACAAGCAGCTTGGTCGCAAATGGAAGAAACACAAAATAACTGTCAATCTCGCTCAGCCTGGGGCTCCATGCAAGATCTCACCTCGTGGAGTTGAAATTATAATGAGAACGGTGAGGAATCAGCCCAGAACTACACGGGAGGATCTTGTGAATGATCTCAAGGCAGCTGGGACCATAGTCACCAAGAAAACAATTGGTAACACACTACGCCGTGAAGGACTGAAATCCTGCAGCGCCCGCAAGGTCCCCCTGCTCAAGAAAGCACATATACAGGCCCGTCTGAAGTTTGCCAATGAACATCTGAATGATTCAGAGGAGAACTGGGTGAAAGTATTGTGGTCAGATGAGACCAAAATCAAGCTCTTTGGCATCAACTCAACTCGCCGTGTTTGGAAGAGGAGGAATGCTGCCTATGACCCCAAGAACACCATCCCCACCGTCAGAACATGGAGGTGGAAACATTATGCTTTGGGGGGTGTTTTTCTGCTAAGGGGACAGGACAACTTCACCGCATCAAAGGGACGATGGACGGGGCCATGTACCGTCAAATCTTGGGTAAGAACCTCCTTCCCTTAGCCAGGGCATTGAAAATGAGTCGTGGATGGGTATTCCAGCATGACAATGACCCAAAACACATGGCCAAGGCAACAAAGGAGTGGCTCAAGAAGAAGCACATTAAGGTCCTGGAGTGGCCTAGCCAGTCTCCAGACCTTAATCCCATAGAAAATCTGTGGAGGGAGCTGAAGGTTCGAGTTGCCAAACGTCAGCCTCGAAACCTTAACGACTTGGAGAAGATCTGCAAAGAGGAGTGGGACAAAATCCCTCCTGAGATGTGTGCAAACCTGGTGGCCAACTACAAGAAACGTCTGACCTCTATGATTGCCAACAAGGGTTTTGCAGAGGGGCCAAATACTTATTTCCCTCATTAAAATGCAAATTAATTTATAACATTTTTGACATGCGTTTTTTGTTGTTGTTATTCTGTCTCTCACTGTTCAAATAAACCTTCCATTAAAATTATAGACTAATCATGTCTTTGTCAGTGGGCAAACGTACAAAATCAGCAGGGGATCAAATACTTTTTTCCCTCACTGTATATCTTTTTTTTTTTTTTTTTTTTTTACACACTAATTTATTTGTTGTCACTGTTTTGGGGCCAAACTGATGGCAGTTGTGAAACGTTGCAGAGTGAAAATAATGTTGATTAGATTTTTTTTTCATTAATTAGGCTATTTCTCTGAACACATAGTCTTTAACTAAAAAAACTAATGGACACAGATATAAAAACTAAACCAAATGAATACATGGTTTTTTATGTTTTCAAGTATAAAATTACCAAAGTTGCGACGAATTATGCATCTGTTAATACCAAATACTAAAGATTCCGGAACTTTGGTATATTACCGGTGGCTTTGCACCCTATCAGCAGTACCTAGCATGCTGTGATGTCTCTGGGTTCCTCCTCAAGCCCACAGTTGACGTGGGTAAATCTCCACTGGGTGTCAGTCAAGCACTTGGCACTCCTAGACAACTGATACATCATACTGTAAGTCATTCTGTTCCCCTCAACAACTGATACACTCATACTGTAAGTCATTCTGTTCCCCTACAGACAACATGATACCACTCATACTGTAAGTCATTCTGTTCCCCTACAGACAACATGATACCACTCATACTGTAAGTCATTCTGTTCCCCTACAGACAACATGATACCACTCATACTGTAAGTCATTCTGTTCCCCTACAGACAACATGTGACATAGGATGTCTTATACTTGAATAATTGACTTGCCTTCTGGAAGCGCAGGTTTGGAATGGACATGATTCTGACTTCAGGGATGTAACTCCTTTAGGATTGAAAATAACATCACTTTAATGAGAAATAAATAAAAACAATACCAACAATCGGAGTAGAAAACAAGGTGACTATGTTCAGTACAGAGAGGATGCTAAGCAATACTTACACAGCCACCAGCTGGATTTTGAACTTTATTGAGGTTGGGTTGAATTCTGGCTTGCTCAGATTGTGCTCACATTTCTAGGAAGAAAAGCAAACATTTCTACCATGAGAAATCAAGATAAATTGCCTCGCAAAAACAACAGTAAAATAGGTAGTAAAATGCCCTTTCTGAGAAGAGTAGTGTGGTGTAAAAGTACTGTGTCATGTACAGACCCTGCATCGCAGAGAGCGCTTGATCAGCAGGTGTTTGTGTTTGGGGTGGAGCTGAGAAGCTCCGGCAGGCTGGATGTCAGGCTGCAGCAGCCGCTGACGCAAGGTGGTCACTGTAACACACAGCACAGACCATGAGGTTAACACACAACACAGACCATGAGGTTAACACACAGCACAGACCATGAGGTTAACACAGCACAGACCCTGAGGTTAACACACAGCACAGACCCTGAGGTTAACACACAGCACAGACCCTGAGGTTAACACACAGCACAGACCCTGAGGTTAACACACAGCACAGACCCTGAGGTTAACACACAGCACAGACCCTGAGGTTAACACACAGCACAGACCATGAGGTTAACACAACATGGTCAACCAGGCCACACAGGGAGGTTAACACAACACAGACCCTGAGGTTAACACAACACAGACCATGAGGTTAACACAACACAGACCATGAGGTTAACACACAACACAGACCATGAGGTTAACACACAACACAGACCATGAGGTTAACACAACACAGACCATGAGGTTAACACAGCACAGACCATGAGGTTAACACAACACAGACCATGAGGTTAACACAACACAGACCATGAGGTTAACACACAGCACAGACCCTGAGGTTAACACACAGCACAGACCCTGAGGTTAACACACAACACAGACCCTGAGGTTAACACACAACACAGACCATGAGGTTAACACACAGCACAGACCCTGAGGTTAACACACAACACAGACCCTGAGGTTAACACAACACAGACCATGAGGTTAACACACAACACAGACCATGAGGTTAACACACAACACAGACCATGAGGTTAACACAACAGACCATGAGGTTAACACAGCACAGACCATGAGGTTAACACAACACAGACCATGAGGTTAACACAACACAGACCCTGAGGTTAACACACAGCACAGACCCTGAGGTTAACACACAGCACAGACCCTGAGGTTAACACACAACACAGACCCTGAGGTTAACACACAACACAGACCATGAGGTTAACACAACACAGACCATGAGGTTAACACAACACAGACCATGAGGTTAACACAACACAGACCATGAGGTTAACACACAGCACAGACCATGAGGTTAACACACAGCACAGACCCTGAGGTTAACACACAGCACAGACCATGAGGTTAACACACAGCACAGACCCTGAGGTTAACACACAGCACAGACCCTGAGGTTAACACACAGCACAGACCCTGAGGTTAACACACAGCACAGACCCTGAGGTTAACACACAACACAGACCCTGAGGTTAACACACAACACAGACCATGAGGTTAACACAACACAGACCATGAGGTTAACACAACACAGACCATGAGGTTAACACACAGCACAGACCCTGAGGTTAACACACAGCACAGACCCTGAGGTTAACACACAGCACAGACCATGAGGTTAACACACAACACAGACCCTGAGGTTAACACAACACAGACCATGAGGTTAACACACAGCACAGACCCTGAGGTTAACACACAACACAGACCCTGAGGTTAACACAACACAGACCATGAGGTTAACACACAACACAGACCATGAGGTTAACACACAACACAGACCATGAGGTTAACACAACACAGACCATGAGGTTAACACAGCACAGACCATGAGGTTAACACAACACAGACCATGAGGTTAACACAACACAGACCATGAGGTTAACACACAGCACAGACCCTGAGGTTAACACACAGCACAGACCCTGAGGTTAACACACAACACAGACCCTGAGGTTAACACACAACACAGACCATGAGGTTAACACAACACAGACCATGAGGTTAACACAACACAGACCATGAGGTTAACACAACACAGACCATGAGGTTAACACAACACAGACCATGAGGTTAACACAACACAGACCATGAGGTTAACACACAGCACAGACCATGAGGTTAACACACAGCACAGACCCTGAGGTTAACACACAGCACAGACCATGAGGTTAACACACAGCACAGACCCTGAGGTTAACACACAGCACAGACCATGAGGTTAACACACAGCACAGACCCTGAGGTTAACACACAACACAGACCATGAGGTTAACACAACATGGTCAACCAGGCAACACAGGGAGGTTAACACAACATGGTCAACCAGGCCACACAGGGAGGTTAACACAACATGGTCAACCAGGCCACACAGGGAGGTTAACACAACATGGTCAACCAGGCCACACAGGGAGGTTAACACAACATGGTCAACCAGGCCACACAGGGAGGTTAACACAACATGGTCAACCAGGCCACACAGGGAGGTTAACACAACATGGTCAACCAGGCCACACAGGGAGGTTAACACAACATGGTCAACCAGGCCACACAGGGAGGTTAACACAACATGGTCAACCAGGCCACACAGGGAGGTTAACACAACATGGTCAACTAGACAACACAGGGAGGTTAACACAACATGGTCAACCAGGCCACACAGGGAGGTTAACACAACATGGTCAACCAGGCCACACAGGGAGGTTAACACAACATGGTCAACCAGGCCACACAGGGAGGTTAACACAACAAGGCAGATTTCAAAAACAACCACAGTGTACCCGGACATAGCTGTAGACTTAGACATTATTATAACATATAGCTTCAAGGGAAAGTAGTGGATGAAGCTAGAATTGCTACATCCATTTTCAGACTTATAAATGATTTATCTATACCCGTTGACTGAGTATATAACTTATAAATGCCTCATGAGCTTAGTTCAACTGTCGTACCCCATCAGAACCCAAAATATAAACTTGTTTTACTCCAACATTTGTAAACAACATATAGTGCATTCGGAAAGTATTCAGACCCCGTCCCTTTTTCCACATGTTGTTACGTTATAGCCAGTGGAGGCTCCTCAGAGGAGGAAGGGGAGGACCATCCTCCTCAGTGTATTTCATAAAAATTAAATGTTAACATTTTTTTTAAGTTATCCTTTTTAAATAAAACTATACTAAATATATTCACGTCACCAAATAATTGATTAAAACACACTGTATTGCAATAAAGGTCTGCAGTAGCCTCAACAGCACTCTGTAGGGTAGCACCATGGTGTAGCCGGAGGACAGCTAGTTTCCATCCTCCTCTGGGTACATTGACTTCAATACAAAACCTAGGAGGCTCATGGTTCTCACCCCCTTCCATAGACTTACACAGTAATTATGACAACTTCCAGAGGATGTCCTCCAGCCTATCAGAGCTCTTGCAGCATGAACTGACATGTTGTCCAACCAATCAAAGGATCAGAGAATTAATCTAGTACTGAAAGCATAAACTACAGCTAGCTAGCACTGCAGTGTATAAAATGTGGTGAGTAGTTGACTCAGAGAGAGAAGGACAATAATTGAACAGTTTAACAAATTAATTTCTTCAAAAATGAAGGAGAAGCAAGAGAGTAATTTTATTTTCACTTTCAGTTTCACTTACTTAGCTAGCAAATGCAGCTAGCTAGTTTAGCCTACTGAAACACCCTGCGCAAACAGAGGGATGCTATGTTAGCTAGCTAGCTAGTTTAGCCTACTGAAACACCCTGCTCAAACAGAGGGATGCTATGTTTGCTAGCTGGTTATGACTATCCAACACAACACTGGAACTCTTCCAAGTAAAAAGGTAAGCTTTTGGTTTTATGAATGTATTGCCACCGGGGCCCGCCAGTGTAACTGCTAAACTGCTTACTGACTATACACTAACGTTACTGCATGATTGTAGTGGGTTTACTAACGCATTAGTTATATTCGCTATGTTGACTAGGACGTTACTTTAACCAACATGGGGACAACGATGTAGGCTGTGTGTAGAGGTTTGGCTTGGAAAGGTTTTTTCGCCTGGTCACATTCAGCTGATTCGTTGCGCATTGACGCGAGAAGGAATACAACGTGGCTGCTATGAAAGTAAACTGCTTACGCGTTGAACTTAATCCCCCAAAAACATTTCCACTGCATGTCAGCCCTGCCACGAAAAGGACCAGCTGCCATCATGTCAGTGATTCTCTCGTTAACACAGGTGAGAGTGTTGACGAAGGACAAGGCTGGAGATCACTCTGTCATGCTGATTGAGTTAGAATAACAGACTGGAAGCTTTAAAAGGAGGGTGGTGCTTGAAATCATTGTTCTTCCTCTGTTAACCATGGTTACCTGCAAGGAAACACGTGCAGTCATCATTGCTTTGCACAAAAAGGGCTTCACAGGCAAGGATATTGCTGCTAGTAAGATTGCACCTAAATCAACCATTTATCGGATCATCAAGAACTTCAAGGAGAGAGGTTCAATTGTTGTGAAGAAGGCATCAGGGCGCCCAAGAAAGTCCAGCAAGCGCCAGGACAGTCTCCAGAAGTTGATTCAGCTGCGGGATCGGGGCACCACCAGTGCAGAGCTTGCTCAGGAATGGCAGCAGGCAGGTGTGAGTACATCTGCTCGCACAGTGAGGCGAAGACTTTTGGAGGATGGCCTGGTGTCAAGAAGGGCAGCAAAGAAGCCACTTATCTCCAGGAAAAACATCAGGTACAGGGATTGGACTGCTGAGGACTGGGGTAAAGTCATTTTCTCTGATGAATCCCCTTTCCGATTGTTTGGGGCATCCAGAAAACACCTTGTCCTGAGAAGACAAGGTGAGCGCTACCATCTGTCCTGTGTCATGCCAACAGTAAAGCATCCTGAGACCATTCATGTGTGGGGTTGCTTCTCAGCCAAGGGAGTGGGCTCACCCACAATTTTGCCTACGAACACAGCCATGAATAAAGAATGGTACCAACACATCCTCCGAGAGCAACTTCTCCCAACCATCCATTGGTGACGACCAATGCCTTTTCCAGCATGATGGAGCACCTTTCCATGAGGCAAAAGTTATAACTAAATGGCTTGGGGAACAAAACATCGACATTTTGGGTCCATGGCCAGGAAACTCCCCAGACCTTAATCCCATTGAGAACTTGTGGTCGATCCTCAAGAGGCGGGTGGACAAACAAAAACCCACAAATTCGGACAAACTCCAAGCATTGATTATGGAGGAATGGGCTGCCATCAGTCAGGATGTGGCCCAGAAGTTAATTGACAGCATGCCAGGGCAGATTGCAGAGGTCTTGAAAAAGAAGGGTCAACACTGCAAATATTGACTCTTTGCATAAACTTAATGTAATTGTCAATAAAAGCCTTTGACACTTATGGAATGCTTGTAATTATACTTCAGTATACCATAGTAACATCTGACAAAAATATCTCATAACACTGAAGCAGTGAACTTTGTGAAGACCAATACTTGTGTCATTCTCAAAACTTTTGACGTACATAAGGCCATGCTCATGAAAAAAATTAAACGGCACTGACTTCCACTGGCTACACCCTTATTCTAAAATGGATTACATTTATTAATTTTTTTCAATCTACACACAATACCACATAAGTGAAAATAGGTTTAGCATTTTTTGCAAATGTATTAAATATAAAAAAAATAACTCTTACATAAGTATTCAGACCCTTTGCTATGAGCCTCGAAATTTAGCTCAGGTGCATCCTGTTTCCATTGATCATCGTTGAGATGTTTTTACAACTTGGAGTACACCTGTGGTAAATTCAATTGATTGGACATGATTTGGAAAGGCATACACCTGTCTATATAAGGTCCCACAGTTGACAGTGTCAGAGCAAAAACCAAGCCATGAGGTCGAAGGAATTGTCCGTAGAGCTCCGAGACAGGATTGTGTTGAGGCACAGATCTGGGGAAGGGTACCAAAAAATGTCTGCCGCATTGAAGGTCCCCAAGAACACAGTGGCCTCTATCATTCTTAAATGGAAGAAGTTTGGAACCACCAAGACTCTTCCTAGAGCTGGCCACCTGGCCAAACTGAGCAATCGGGGGAGAAGGGCCTTGGTCAGGGAGGTGACCAAGAGGCCGATGGTCACTCTGACAGAGCTCCAGAGTTCCTCTGTGGAGATGGGAGAACCTTCCAGAAGGACAACCATCTCTGCAGCACTCCACCAATCAGGCCTTTATGGTAGAGTGGCCAGAAGGAAGCCACTCCTCAGTAAAAGCCACATGCCAGCCCGCTTGGAGTTTGCCAAAAGGCACCCAAAGGACTCTCAGACCATGAGAAACAAGATTCTCTGGTCTGATGAAACCAAGATTGAACTCTTTGGCCTGAATGCCAAGCGTCACGTCTGGAGGAAACCTGGCACCATCCCTACGGTGAAGCATGGTGGTGGCAGCATCATGCAGTGGGGATGTTTTTCAGCGGCAGGGACTGAGAGACTAGTCAGGATCGAGGCAAAGATGAACGGAGCAAAGTACAGAGAGATCCTTGATGAATTCCTGAGCGCTCTGGAGCAGGTTCTTAGACTGGGGTGAAGGTTCACCTTCCAACAGGACAACAACCCTAAGCACACAGCCAAGACAACGCAGGAGTGGCTTCGGGACAAGTCTCTGATTGTCCTTGAGTGGCCCAGCCAGAGCCTGGACTTGAACATCTCTGGAGCTATCTGAAAATAGCTGTGCAGCAACGCTCCCCATCCGCCCTGACAGAGCTTGAGAGGATCTGCAGAGAAGAATGGGAGAAACTCCCCAAATACAGGTGTGCCAAGCTTGTAGCGTCATACCCAAGAAGACGACAAGGCTGTAATCGCTGCCAAAGGTGCTTCAACAAAGTAATGATTAAAGGGTCTGAATACTGAATATGTAAATGTCATTTCGTTTTTTTATTTTTAATATATTTGCGAAATTTTCTAGAAACCTGTTTTTGCTTTGTCATTATGTGTGTAGCTTGATGAGGGGGAAAAAAACAATTAATTCAATTTTAGAATAAGGCTGTAAAGTAACAAAATGTGGAAAAAGTCAAGGGGTCTGAATACTTTCCGAATGCACTGTAAATGTAAACCACTGTATAGCCTCATAACATGGTTCAACCTATAATGCTGATATCATAGATGGTCAGTCCTTGCATCCATAGCTCTGTCTGTGAATTTGAGAGTGGTTACATTTCTCCAGCCCCATCGCTCAACTTTTAACCGAAACAGGGGTGGGGAAAACACTTTGTTTCAATTAAGGATTGTAGCTTTAAAAAGTAGTGATCACTGTTACCCTCAGGTTGATAGGTCTGGTGTAGGGTTACTGTATTGTTAAAGGTCCGGGTTAATGTCAGGCTTAGGGGGTCAGGGGTCAGGCTTAGGGGGTCAGGGGTCAGGCTTAGGGGGTCGTCAGTGTCAGGCTTAAGGGGTCAGGGGTCAGGCTTAGGGGGTCAGGGGTCAGGCTTAGGGGGTCAGGGGTCAGGCTTAGGGGGTCAGGGGTCAGGCTTAGGGGTCAGGGGTCAGGCTTAGGGGGTCAGTGTCAGGCTTAGGGGGTCAGTGTCAGGCTTAGGGGGTCAGTGTCAGGCTTAGGGGGTCAGTGTCAGGCTTAGGGGGTCAGTGTCAGGCTTAGGGGGTCAATGTCAGGCTAAGGGGGTCAGTGTTAGGGTTAGGGGTCAGTGTTAGGGTTAGGGGTCAGTGTTAGGGTTAGGGGTCAGTGTTAGGGGTCAGTGTCTCTTACCCTCTGGTAGGTTGATAGGTCTGGTGTAGCAGTCTTCAGGCAGTGGCTCCACCTCGTCTAAGGCTTGGGCTGGCTCTATCTTCATCTCCTTCTGGTCTTCACCTTCCTTCAGACTGGAACAGGGACAGACACAGTGAAGGTCATTATAGGAGACAGACACAGACACAGTGAAGGTCATTATAGGAGACAGACACAGACACAGTGAAGGTCATATATAGGAGACAGACACAGTGAAGGTCATTATAGGAGACAGGGACAGACACAGTGAAGGTCATTATAGGAGACAGGGACAGACACAGTGAAGGTCATTATAGGAGACAGGGACAGACACAGTGAAGGTCATTATAGGAGACAGGGACAGACACGGTGAAGGTCATTATAGGAGACAGGGACAGACACAGTGAAGGTCATTATAGGAGACAGGGACAGACACAGTGAAGGTCATTATAGGAGACAGGGACAGACATGAGAGGATGTGATACTCATACTTTTTGAACAATATAAAGGAATGGTACAGTATAGTATTACACGAGAGGATGTGATACTCGTACTTTACGGACAATAACATTATTGGAATGTCATGTAATACTTACGAAAGACCGGCCAGACTGGTGATAGGAGCTCCAGGTCTCTGTCGCTGTAGTCTGGTACCCAGACCATACTTCTCCTTTATACGGCAGAGCAACACAACGTCAACTAACTCACAGGCAGACACCACGTGGTAGACTTATGGGAGAGGAACACCACTGGCATTTTTCTATTGATGACTGATAAAATGGTTCATATTTTTCCTTTACTAGGCATTTTTTAAATATCCAATTAGGAAAACATTTACTAGCATAAATGCCTAAAATAAAATTGTGATCGAAATCAAAGAAAAAAAACAAATCTAGATAAATAATTTGGTTTGAACAACGACAACACAAATCTTTATGTTCACAGTGGGAGAAGAGTTACTACTCTCTACTATATTACAGGCCTAATCAGCTTTAACGGTACATTTCCTAACGAGGGAGCGAGAGCGAGAGAGAACAGTGCTTTGACTATCAAACTACAACTCACCACCACATGAATAGTGTGTTGCTGGGTGGGAAGGGGTTAAAAACCAACATGTCAGCGTGCAGAAGAGAAGAGAAGAGAAGAGGAGTATCAGGTGAAACCAAAGCACTGAAGCAAACATTTCAGTAACTGATAACATGCAACAGAAAAGCATCAGTGGTAGAGATGAACTATTCAGCTGCAGTGGCTAGTATATAGCTAGCTAGCACACAGCTAGCACACAGCTAGCACACAGCATATAGTGACCCTTAACCAATCACAGGTTCTGAATGCAATGTTCCAGTATGGGCCAGGTTCTGAACCAAACCAGTCCTTCTGTCCATACACACAAACTATACATGCTTTTCAATCAAATGTTAACATACTGGAACTAAATATTACAGTACATCATGCAGGCTATTCAGAAATACAGTGCCTTGCAAAAGTATTCATCCCCCTTGGCGTTTTTTTTCCTATTTTGTTGCATTACAACCTTTAATTTAAATTGATTTTTATTTGGATTTCATGTAATGACATACATAAAATAATCCAAATTGGTGAAGTGGAATAAAAAAAAAATAACTTGTTTCAAAAAAATATTCACCCCCTTTGCTATGAAGCCCCTAAATAAGATCTGGTACAACCAATTACCTTCAGAAGTCACATAATTAGTTAAATAAAGTCCACCTGTGTGCAATCTAAGTGTCACATGATCTGTCAACATGATCTCAGTATATATATATATATATATATATATATATATACACACACCTGTTCTGAAAGGCCCCAGAGTCTGCAACACCACTAAGCAAGTGGCACCACCAAGCAAGCGGCACCATGAAGCCCAAGGAGCTCTCCAAACAGGTCAGGGACAACGTTGTGGAGAAGTACAGATCAGGGATGGGTTATAAAAAAATATCTGAAACTTTGAACATCTCACGGAGCACCATTACATCCATTATTAAATGGAAAGAATATGGCACCACAACAAACCTGCCAAGAGAGGGCCGCCCACCAAAACTCACAGACCAGGCAAGGAGGGCATTAATCAGAGAGACAACAAAGAGACCAAAGATAACCCTGAAGGAGCTGCAAAGCTCCACAGCGGAGATTGGAGTATCTGTCCATAGGACCACTTTAAGCCGTACACTCCACAGAGCTGGGCTTTACGGAAGAGTGGCCAGAAAAAAGCCATTGCTTAAAGAAAAAAATAAGCAAACACGTTTGGTGTTCGCCAAAAGGCATGTGGGAGACTCACAAACATACGGAAGAAGGTACTCTGGTCAGAGAAGACTAAAATTGAGCTTTTTGGCCATCAAGGAAAACGCTATGTTGGGGGGGGAGTGGAATAGTTATGCACGCTCAAGTCTTCCGTTTATTTGTCTTATTTCTTGTTTGTTTCACAACAAAAAATATTTTGCATCTTCAAAGTGGTAGGCATGTTGTGTAAATCAAATGATACAAACCACCCAAAAATCAATTTTAATTCCAGGTTGTAAGGCAACAAAATAGGAAAAATGCCAAGGGGGATGAATACTTTCACAAGCCACTGTAGTTGCCTTGTTAATTTCAGACCCCGCCACCAGCAGGGTTAATAACACAGCCATAACAACAAACAAACACGAAAAGCGTTTTTGCGGCTTTGAGAATGCTCATCATGATATGTCTCATTATAAAGGTGGGCGCTGGGCCGTGGTTAACGTGTAAAACAGTCAAGTTCATATTCCAGAGAGAAGTGTGAAAGCTGAGCATGTTATCTGCCGGAGTGTGTGTGTGTGTGAGATGTGTGTGTGTGTGTGTGTGTGTGAGAGAGGTGTGTACCGAGAAGGCCAGCGGCATGTATGGTCGTCTCCTGGCCAGCTTCTTCCTGTCCCTGTCCAGTTTCTCTCTCTGGGCCAGCTGCTGGTAATACTCTATCAGTTTATTGATCTGGAGGAAGAATAGACATAACACGAGTCAAAGCCACCATTTAGGCCTGGAGCCTGTATCAGCAGTGTGCTGTTTGTGGTTGATCACGCAGTGCGTTTTTTAAATACAGCATCAGTTACAAAAGACTCTATGCAACTTCCAGCGTCACAGCATTCTACAGCCTGGGGTTGTCTAGCTGAATTGAAGATCAGACCAAAGGAAGGCAACATACCCGTTGAGTATGAGGGTTCTCAGGCTCCTGCCATCCTCCACTGGCTAAAGTGAAGACAAAAAGAGAAAGAACTTCAACAGTCGTCCAGAAAACACCCAACAAGTCAAATCACACAACAGACAGGTAGGCCACTAGTGGACACGTCTACATGATACGGGACAGATCTCTACTCAGGGTAACAAATCCAAACAAAGCTCCATACATCAAATATAAATTAGTTTTTTTGCATTTGGACCATTCTAACATGGCCTATTATCAATAGTCAGTTCAATATCTCCCCCTCATCACCCATGCAGGGGACACTTCCTTCAGTAGTAACTATGATCACTAGCAAGGTTTGCTATTTGATTTGGTTGAAGCCACTTCCCACCCTCAGCCAGCCACAGAATAGTTGACCCACGCCTAACACTGGCCCAATATAAAGAGTCCAATATCTCCCCCTCATCGTCAACAGTGAGGTAGGCCTGGCACTCACCCACAGACTTGTCAGCCATGCCCACATCTCTGGATGTCCAGCGACAGAAGCCACAGGCCAGGTAGTAGGCCTTCTTCATGGCCGTCTTGCTGGGGTCGTCAGGAAGAGGGGCTGGGATGTTGGTTGCCCGGGTGGACAGAGTGTGCATGCAGCATGGGCAGTCGAAGCAGTTGGCACACCTGGGGCACGCAGAGGAAGGAGGTATAGCTAGTTTGAACAAAGGTAGTAATATATATATATATATATATATTCAACAGGAAGAAATAATCGCAGTACTCTAACCTAAAGCTAGCTTTAATGGCTTTCCTTAACCCTGACCTCACGTAAACTAGGCTACACCTAACCTTAATATAACCCTTGACCCCATAGAATTACATATAGAATAGTGATGATGGGGGGGGGGGGGGGGATATTAATATTAATTTTGACGACACATCGTATCGCCAATATTATTTATGCGCAAATTGGCTGTACCTGCACCAAACCTCCAGTATTTTCCCTTCATAACTTGTTCTCCATCTTCTTTTTAAAATCGGAGCCAATTTGTTTTCAGCACTTTATTTCCATGACCGATCAACAACAAAATCTCATGGCTCTCTCTGTCCCTCTGCAGCAGACATATGGTGAGCAATATGTTTGGAACATCGAATCGCAATACAAATCTGAGTATCGGATCACAATACATATAGAATTGTAAGAATCGCAATACATATCGTATCGGCACCTAAGTATCGTGATATATCGTATCTTGAGGTCCCTGGCAATTCCTAGCACTAATATAGAACATGAACTATAGATAAACCCAACCTTAACACTAACCTTAACCCTAACCTCTATGCCTAACCTGAAGTTTTCATTCAGCTGGTTGAATATCCTCTTCCTAGAACAAAACAGAGAGCTGGGAAATGTAGGCTGGATGCAGTGAACATTGTCAATGGCTAGACAGTAAGGAATAGGTCCATGCTATAGACCCTATATAACAGGTCTATGCTGATGCTCAGTTGCAAATGTTACTCACCTGTTCTTCTTCAGCTTTGCCTCTGCTGAAGGCATATTCTCCAGGCAGCTTGGACAGTAATGAGAGTCCACCTGGAAACCAGAGGCAGCATTCAACAGTTTATGTTAGTGGCACCTTAATTGGGGAGAACATGCTTGTGTTAATGACTGGAGCGGAATTTTTTCGAATGGTATCAAATACATCAAACACATTGGTTTCCAGGTGTTTGATGCCATTCCATTTGCTCCGTTCCGGCCATTATTATGAGCCGTTCTCCCCTCAGCAGCCTCCTGTGGTTAGTGGGAATACATGAATGTGCATAGCTATCCCTCGTAGTTAGCTAGTAGTTATAACTGCACAGACAGTAATCATGTTTCAGCATGACCCAATTTCTGTGCGTTAGACCTAACAGATACTGGTTCAGCTTCAGTAATAAAAATGTGAGTTTCTGTGGGTGAGGGTCACTGTCCGTTGTGTGGCTGTGTAAGTTAAGAATCAAAGCTGTCTGACGTGGCACGTATCAACTACATCGCTAGATAAATAGTTAGCTAGATACCTAAATAAAGATATTTCACAAGAATAACGAACTCTGTCAAAAGCTGTTTGCTAGATCTGAGACCACACTGTGGTCGCTCTGTCTGGGTGTGGTGATGAATAGCGTACGTTAGCCAGCTGACTAGCTACCTAGGGGGCTGTATAGCTAGCTAACAATTAAAAAAGCTTTTCAAACGGCTGTTAAGTTTAAGTTGTATTTCCAGTGGGAATGTGTCACTTAATTGGAGAAAATAAGTTCATAGTGAACACCGACCAAATAAACGGATGTAATATGTTGTTTGGCTAGTTGTCTTGCTTGCTTGTTAACCGTTAGCTTAGCTAGGTAGCTAGATAAAACGTACAAAATTATGAAAGTAGGACGGAAGTAAAGACGGCATATACGGCCAATCAGACGACAGAGTTGGTTAATAAACATTGATTGGCGTGCGATATGGCAAATAAAATTACAATGTTTCTTGTACGGGGGCTGGACTATGTTGACCAATCCCTCCCAAACAGCTAACGCTACGAGTTAGCTAGATATCTCTGATTGAGATAGTTAGCAAAAGTAGTGTTGACATTTTCGTCACTTACCTCGTGAGACACACATTCTAGGGAACGCAAATCACTGCAATACCGGCAAAAATAAAGTGTAGACAACGGAGATCGGATCTTTTTCTCTCCGTGAACTAGGTAGAGAACCCTGTCAGGCTGCAGAAGCGACGCCATCTCTAACTGATGCCGCGTTCAAAACAACTGGGGACTCGGAGAAATACGAGATCAAATCATGACGTCAGTGATTCGGTTCGGAAAGTCGGAGCTTCAGAAAGAGGCCCGAGTTCATGAGTTGGAATTCCGAGTTGGATGGCCGTTCAAATCGATTTTTCCCAGTCGGAGCAATTTTTTTTATTTTTTTGGGGGGGAGTTCCCAGTTGTTTTGAACGCACTGAAGTATAAAGTTTGAGATTTCCGAGTTCTGAGCTCCAAGTTGTTTTGAACGCACTGAAGTATAACTTTTGAGATTTCCGAGTTCTGAGCTCCCTGTTGTTTTAAACGCACTGAAGTATAAAATTGGAGATTTCCGAGTTGTTTTGAACGTCACCTACTGTTGTCGTTTGGTCGACGGCGCCCCCAGGTGGTGGGTTGTGATACTGGACATTTAGGTGAGGTGAAGTTTTATTTTAAACCAACAGGGGGCAAGCTTTGTCTCATGCATATGTCATGCTCTGTTGTTGTGGCAACCCCCAACGATGACAGGAAATCGCGGTAATTTCAATTTATTGTTTTGTTGTGTCGCAGTTTACCCGTTTAAGCTTGCTAACATTAGTTAAGCTAACAATCCTAATGTTGAACAAAATAAGTTACCGGGTGCAATGCGTAACCGCCACAAGTTGGCTAGTTATCTAGCTAATTTACAACGTTTGTTGACTTTGTTCTATTAGTTATTTTTGCGCGAAAAACCGTTAGCTAGGCTACATTTTGTGGCTTAGCGCGCCGAGGCTGCAGCTACTTGAAGATGGAGCTTCGAATGAAATCTGCTCCAGTGGAGATGAACGTGAGAAGGTCGACCCGTTTGAGGAAAAATAAGAGCACGTTTTTAGAGGTGGGTGATTTTTTTTTTCAATTGAGTGAGTTAGCTTTTCCGCCTTCCTCTCTCTTCCTCATCCGACTTTTCATAGCCACGTAGCTAACTAGCTTGGCACTGTAGTGTCATAGAGAGCGAGAGTACAGCACGTTCAGCGCATTTGATTGTACCTGGCTGCTTTAAACTCCTGGTAAGTTTAGTTAGCTACCTAACTAAAGTCCTTGAATATAAATTCAAAGCATAGCTGAATCACTATATTAGACGCCAGGTTTGCAAGCTTAGTAAAAATGACTTCCTGACATTGTTTGAACCGCATCTTGCGTTGAAAGCTGTCTAGGTAATAGTTTCACTTCATGTTTCTAACTGTTTCTGTCGGATCAGACTGCTCTCATAGACTAGACGTAACATAGTCAACGTCAAGCCGGGACACTCAAATTAGTATGTTATGTTTGGTATGGTTACAAAATATAGGTTTCTTAAAGTTAAAACGAAAGGAAGGTGGGTGTATGACGCGAACATCTAGCAATCCAAAGGACCTTTTTGACAACACCCAACCCATAGAGTTAACGTTAGCCAGCTAGTTAGCGTTAGCCACCAAGCTGCCTAGCAAACGTTAGCCACAACACATCTGTTTAGCAAATTCGTAACATATCATTTGTTTAGCAAATTCATAACATATTGTATGTTTTGGCAACTCGTAATGTATCTTACCAATTGTAATTCATAACATATCTTACAATATGGATGATGGACATCCACAAATTAACACATACCATACGAAACGTAACATATCATACTAAATTAAGTGTCTCAAATTTACTTACAGGATAATACGAAATGCTCAGACCACATTGGTTGTATCCATTGGAACTAGGAGTTGCAGCGATGTTAAGTTATGTGCAAAAATATCACCGACTTGATTGTGTGACTCATCCTAGGATACAGAGGAAGATAGAGAAGAGTTTCAGAACAACGTTATGATGGATGATGATGATCATTCTCCAGCCCTGTCAGAAGATGAGGCCACCACAAAGCGGTGTGGGGACTCTCACCTGGATGTGACCGTAGGTTTTAACCATAGACCTATAAGGGGTTTTAGCCATAGACACACATTGGCCTTGCCCTGTACAATTTAGCCTATTCCTCACAGGAAATGATAACATTTACAGCTCTATGTTATTTTCTTACTGTTTGCATGAAAGACACTGTAGTGAAGACATTTTTAAACGTTGGCCTTGTCCTGTATGATTTATTCCTCACGTCAAATGAAATCATACACATCTTTAGGATTTATCGATCATTTGCTTTCTGTTACTTTGCATTGATGAAACTGTAGATAGGACACTGTGAAATTATTCATTTGAAATGAAGACTTGTCCCTGTCACTTTTTTTTAGTATCTATGATATCTTCAAATTATTCACACACACACCTTGCAATAAGCAACCTAAGATGAGTGTTTTTCCAATTTTAAACTATTAATTTCAGACATTCTCTCCATTCCCTACTGGGGGGGGGAAATAATTTTTAAACAGGGAGTTAAGAATTGGATGTTGAACCGGTTAGACCGAGAAGAAGACTCTGAGAGAAAAGAGGAAGAAGAAGAAGACTCACGCAAAAACAAACAACATGCCTCTCGAATTCCTGCTTTTCACAAAACATTAGCCAAAAAACGCCCCACCACCACCACCACCACCAGCAGCAGCAGCAGTCAAAGCTCAGATCCACCTGCCCCGTCTATTACCAGAAAAGAGTCTTCTAGCCAGGCATCTTCAACAAGCAGCAGTGGGGAGATGTCAAGATCAAAACTGCCCGGTATTAGAGAAACAGGTCTCCCTCTTCCTACAGTCCGTCTACATAAACTCAACCCTCAGACCCTGTCTCATGCTGTTAGCTCCCCAGAGCAAAGCCCCAGCTCTCTGGATGTTACTCCACCTGATGGGGATGATCAGGAGCAGCTCCATCCCATGACGGCAACCCCTAGACCGGCCCTCAGGGCCGAAGCAGGGGACTATGGTGACCCAGGAAAACCACTCCAGACCACCGAAGAGCTCGCCACTCCATCTCAATATAAAATTGAGACATTCCTCACCACCACTGAAACTGTGCAGAAGGGCACGGAGGAAGAGTTTGAGGCTGAGGTTAGAATGGATAGTGGCGACATCTCTGGTCACGCTGAAAAGGAATCCCTAGAGATAGTTGAGAGTGAGAAGGAGGAGACTGATCTGAATCAGCCTGATGATGATGATGTGGAAACGGGCTATGAGGAAACTCCCTGTGAGGCTGAGGCCACGGAGATTGAGTTTCTATTAGAAGAGGATGGAGATGGGTTGGACTCCCCATTGCGGGAGGAGAAGGAGCTTGAGGAGCCAAGTGTTGAGACTGAGCGCTTCAGTGAATCTGAGGCTGTTAGTAAAAATCGAGACAAGTCTGCAAACGAGGAGATGGTTTCTGGAAAATGGTCCAAAAACCCTGACGATACAACCGACGCTGATACCTCAGTCCCCTCGCCCAGAGCAGTGCCTCAGAGAACAACTAGATCCAGTCAGTCGAACAAGGTGAGGCATCTAGATATCCGTTATTTCTCTTGCTATTACCCATCTTGGGTAATAGCAACGCCTTAGGAAAAATCTGTATTGTATTTATTGTCTGCAGTTTTATGTCCTTTTGTCTGTGCTTGCTTTGTTTTGAATGGATGCTCTGCACAGAGCCACAAACAGAATGACTCCATGGGGGATAAGAGTCATTATCTTATCCTAATCTCAACGACATACAAACAATCCCATATTCCTTCTTGTAATAGTTATTGTAATCTGTTCTCTTGCTTCATGTTTTAAAATCTCACTCTTCAATTTGTAGACGTCGTGGTGCTGGAGCTTTGCACTATTCTGCCTTTTCCCCTCCACTCTGCTTGTGATTGGGGGACTGGGTCAACACGTCTGGCACTATGGGATGCCTCTGTCGGTGTCACAGTTGGTGGGACAGTTGGAGCTGCACTGGCTGGAGGGACTGTGGGTGCAACACGAGCCTTGTAACTCAGATTGTCGGTGAGAAAAGTGTTACAGAACATAATTGTAACTTTTTTGTTTGACCCCTTTCACAAATATATGTTTTATATGTAATTTTATAAGTAATGCAATCTTTCACAGCTTTTGGTGGATGGTGGGACGGAGGACAGATATAGATTTATCAGAGAATATTTTAGTCCCAAATGGCACCCTATTGTCTACACAGTGCAGTGCTTTTGACCTTTTAACCCTATGGGTGGCTCTGGTCAAAAGCAGAGCGCAATCTAGGGAATAGGGTGCCATTTGGGACACAGCCGTGGGTTTGTCACCGTTGGCATCATCTACCACAGTGTTTGACGTTGTCATTAGGAAGGGTTTGAGCGTATTGGGATGTCCAGTCCCTTTTTTTAAAGAGCGACTGCCTTTTTAAAAAGCAACGAGTACCTATGTGGCGTAGATATGAGTCAGAAACATTTATTCTGTCAAAATTGACTACAAAGTGTAAATGGGATCATTTTGGTCAGAAAGTCAGTCTCGTCTAAAGCGGAGTTTGGAACATCCCATGCGTCGCAACGGGTAAATGAAGGTTGGGTTTTGATTTGACGATGTCCATTTGCCCACTAATATGGGGTGAACAGCTGCGGTGACTACCCTCTATCCTATAGCACAGACTGAGCTATAGACTTGCTCATCAGCTCCAACTGTTTACATAAGACAACACGCCACACATTTTTTAACTTGAGAAATACTGCACCCAACACCTTAGTTGGATGTAAAATTGCACAACTGAAACATCCTCGGCAAAAAACGGTAACTCAGGAAATCGGCAATTCATTTAATCTTAGATTCATTCTGGGGATTTTGAGGAAGTGAAATAGGCTTCCGCGTCTACAGTTTCTCATGGGGGACAAACCTCATTAAACAAACGCAGAATCGGTCAGGAAACACACCACCTCCAAGACTGAAATCTCGTTTTTTTTCTAATGAGCAACAGCAAAAACACACGAGCCAATCAGCGAGTTCAGTGGCTCTTTTTAAGAAGACCTCCGGTAGCTGGATCTGTAAACTCCTCTGGCCCTCTCCCACACCAGAACCTGTCTGGTTCACCACCAGCCCAACACCTGCAGTGTGGGTGAAATAGTTCTCTGACCAGTTGGAGGTTCCTGTGTTCACACAATACAGGACTAGTCAATTACAGGTCACTAGCCTGCTTCCATTTCTCTTTGTGCTGTACAGCTAACTCCTATAGTCATATTGGCTGATCTGGGACCAGGCTAGCAGGTCATCCTCATGTCATAATGTCTTCACAGTCTGCACAATGACGTTGAAGGTGTAATTGAGTCTTGTGTGAACCAGGTCCGATGACTAGTGATGTACGGAAAGTATTCAGACCCCTTGACTTTTCCCACATTTTGTTACGTTACAGACTTATTCTAAAATGGATTAAATATATTTTGTTTCTTCTCAGCAATCTACACACAATACCCCATAATGACAAAGCGAAAACAGGTTTTTAGAATTTTTAGCAAATTTATTACAAATAAAAAAAACAGATACCTTATTTACATAAGTATTCAGACCCTTTGCTATGAGACTCAAAATTGAGCTCAGGTGCATCCTGTTTCCATTGATCATCCTTGATGTTTCTACAACTTGATTGGAGTCCACCTGTGGTAAATTCAATTGATTGGACATGATTTGGAAAGGCACACACCTGTCTAGACAAAGCAGATGATTGTGGACTACAGGGAAAAAAAGAGGACTGAGCACGCCCCCATTCTCATCTATGGGGCTGTAGTGGAACAGGTTGAGGGCTTCAAGTTGACCAGTTGGAGGTTAGTCATAGACTGTTCTCTCTGCTACTGCACGGCAAGCGGTACCGGAGCGCCAAGTCTAGGTCCAAAAGGCTTCTTAACAGCTTCTACCTCCAAGCCATAAGACTCCTGAACAGCTAATCAAATGGCTACCCGGTACCGCTTGCCGTGCGGTAGCAGAGAGAACAGTCTATGACTAGGGTGGCTGGAGTCTTTGACAATTTTTAGGGCCTTCCTTTGACACCGCCTGGTATAGAGGTCCTGGATGGCAGGAAGCTTGGCCCCAGTGATGTACTGGGCCGTACGCACTACCCTCTGTAGTGCCTTGTGATCAGAGGTGGAGCAATTGCCATACCAAGCGGTGATGCAACCAGTCAGGATGCTCTCGATGGTGCAGCTGTATAACTTTTTGAGGATCTGAGGACCCATGCCAAATCTTTTCAGTCTCCTGAGGGGGAATAGGTGTTGTCGTGCCCTCTTCACGACTGTCTTGGTGTGTTTGGACCATGATAGTTTGTTGGTGATGTGGACACCAAGGAACTTGAAGCTCTCAACCTGTTCCACTACAGCCCCGTCGATGAGAATGGGGGCTTGCTTGGTCCTCCTTTTCCTGTAGTCCACAATCATCTCCTCTGTCTTGATCACGTTGAGGAAGAGGTTGTTATCCTGGCACCACACGTCTCTGACCTCATCCCTATAAGCTGTCTCATCGTTGTCGTGATCAGGCCTACCACTGTTGTGTCGTCGGCAAACTTAATGATGGTGTTGGAGTCGTGCCTGGCCATACAGTCATGGGTGAGCAGGGAGTTCAGGAGGGGACTGAGCACGCACCCCTGAGGGGCCCCCGTGTTGAGGATCAGCGTGGCAGATGTGTTGTTACCTAACCTTACCACCTGGGGGCGTGTGTCTGGAGCACTGCTGTAGTCCTAATTGAATTGCTCTAAGAGGACAAATAAAGTCGTTTGAATTGAATTGCCAAATGTTTTTCTCTTCTCTAATCAGTGTGAGCCTGGTGGAGAGCGTCCCTGAAGGCCTATTCTACCCACCGGATTCCTCATCCCTACCAAGCATCTCTGAGACATGGACTAATCTACTGACCAGGGCCAACCGCTCTGTGGACATAGCTGCTTTCTACTTCACCCTACGAGACACTGACCTGGGACTCACAGAGCCTAGTGCTGTACAGGTAGGAGGACACTGACCTGGGACTCACAGAGCCCAGTGCTGTACAGGTAGGAGGACACTGACCTGGGACTCACAGAGCCTAGTGCTGTACAGGTAGGAGGACACTGACCTGGGACCCACAGAGCCTAGTGCTGTACAGGTAGGAGGACACTGACCTGGGACTCACAGAGCCTAGTGCTGTACAGGTAGGAGGACACTGACCTGGGACTCACAGAGCCTAGTGCTGTACAGGTAGGAGGACACTGACCTGGGACTCACAGAGCCTAGTGCTGTACAGGTAGGAGGACACTGACCTGGGACTCACAGAGCCTAGTGCTGTACAGGTAGGAGGACACTGACCTGGGACTCACAGAGCCTAGTGCTGTACAGGTAGGAGGACACTGACCTGGGACTCACAGAGCCTAGTGCTGTACAGGTAGGAGGACACTGACCTGGACTCACAGGGACTCACAGAGCCTAGTGCTGTACAGGTAGGAGGACACTGACCTGGGACTCACAGAGCCTAGTGCTGTACAGGTAGGAGGACACTGACCTGGGACTCACAGAGCCTAGTGCTGTACAGGTAGGAGGACACTGACCTGGGACTCACAGAGCCTAGTGCTGTACAGGTAGGAGGACACTGACCTGGGACTCACAGAGCCTAGTGCTGTACAGGTAGGAGGACACTGACCTGGGACTCACAGAGCCTAGTGCTGTACAGGTAGGAGGACACTGACCTGGGACTCACAGAGCCTAGTGCTGTACAGGTAGGAGGACACTGACCTGGGGCTCACAGAGCCTAGTGCTGTACAGGTAGGAGGACACTGACCTGGGGCTCACAGAGCCTAGTGCTGTACAGGTAGGAGGACACTGACCTGGGACTCACAGAGCCTAGTGCTGTACAGGTAGGAGGACACTGACCTGGGACTCACAGAGCCTAGTGCTGTACAGGTAGGAGGACACTGACCTGGGACTCACAGAGCCTAGTGCTGTACAGGTAGGAGGACACTGACCTGGGGCTCACAGAGCCTAGTGCTGTACAGGTAGGAGGACACTGACCTGGGGCTCACAGAGCCTAGTGCTGTACAGGTAGGAGGACACTGACCTGGGACTCACAGAGCCTAGTGCTGTACAGGTAGGAGGACACTGACCTGGGACTCACAGAGCCTAGTGCTGTACAGGTAGGAGGAGAAAAGGGTTGATTTTAGATTTTTAACTCATTTTTGGGTTTACATGTTTGTTTGTTTTTAAGGAAAGAACATTTACATCTATTAATTTGTGCTTTGTGTTGTGATGATGAGATATGTATATATATATATATATATATATATATATATATATATATATATATATATATATATATATATATATATCAGTCATATAATCATATCAACATCTCAAATGACTTCCCCATTCCAAGAGAACCAGTGGATGTTTAGGATAGCTGTGCCGTTGCGCTCTGTGTACATAGTTTTCTCACTGATCAGTTATATTTTGATGTAACATGGATTTTATTGCTCCCGCTGTGACCTGCATGTGCTTTACAGGGAAAACAGGTCTTCAAGCAGCTGATGGAACTTGAAGCAAAAGGAGTGAAACTTCAGATTGCTGTTAATGGTCCTCAGACTGATACTCGAGACACGGCAGATTTATCTAGAACAGGTACGTGAAGCAGCTCTGTTTCCACAGCGGGTCCCTCTGGCCTTGTCTCGTGGGATTTGTTTTTCAGGTTATGCATGTATTCAGGAAATTACTTGCAAATGACTATGTGGTTGTCTATCCTACCTTTAGTTGAATGCACTCTGTATTCGCTCTAGATACGAGTGTCTGCTAAATTACCTAAATGTAAAAGCCAGTGTTAAAATACTGTATCTTTCAAACAATATATTTTTTAAGATTGCTTGTTATGTTTGTCTAACCTTTGCTTCCTTTCTGTGTTCAGGTGCAGAGGTACGGGAGGTGGATCTCCAGTCAGTGACAGGAGGTATCATCCACACCAAGCTGTGGGTCGTGGATCAGAAACACCTCTACCTGGGCAGTGCCAACATGGATTGGCGTTCCCTCACACAGGTATTGATATAATTTGCTTTTTATAGAAAACATCATCTGAACTGATGATCAGGAAAACTGGTGAAACAGCATGTCAGTTTGTAGTCCAGGCTGTATAAAATGTGAGCCATGTAAGAATTGATGCATCTCCTTATCGTATATATCTTCCAATGCATTAATTGATGATTGATTGATTCACGATTGATTGGTGGATTGATTGATTGATCATCTCTGTGCATCTCAGGTGAAGGAGGTGGGAGTTTCCATGGAGGACTGCAGCTGCCTGGCACAGGATGCGTCAAGGATATTCGGGGTGTACTGGAACATCGGTGCTCAGAAAAATGGTTCCCTACCCCCCTTCTGGCCTGCCCGATACTCTGCCCTCTCCAGCTCCGAGCACCCCTTGAATCTCAAACTCAATGGAGTCCCCGCACGAGTATATCTCTCTGTGAGTTGGATCTTCTAGTTATCTGAGTCCCAAATGGCACCCTATTCCCTACATAGTGCACTACTTTTGACCAGAGCCCTATGGGAGGAAATGGTGTCATTTGGGACAGACTTTGTCTATTTAACCCCTTCCACTCATATTTTGCATAATGCTACTACTACTACTACTGATAGTTAAACAAACTGTCCCATTGTTTCAGAGTGCTCCACCTCAGATATCAGCTTATGGACGCTCAGACGATCTATCCACCATCCTCTCGGTCATCGCAGACGCCCAGAAATATGTCTACATCTCAGTCATGGACTATCTTCCAATGTCCCAGTTCACTGAACCACTCAGGTCGAATCATAACTTCCACTTGTGTTGAAATTTCACTTCTCCCATTGACATCAATGCCCGAGTGAAAATTTGACTTGAGTTAGGATTCGCTCCTTTTAATGATTCTCTAACGTTATGTAACAGTGTATCAGATTTTTAATTAGGACATTTATTGGATGTATGTTGTGTATATGTTTTTAAACATGTAACCAATCAGGTACATTTTTTTGTATTAGGTTCTGGCCTGCGATTGACTCAGCCATACGGGCAGCAGCGTGTACTAGCGGGGTAGAGGTCAACATTCTAGTAAGCTGCTGGTCACATTCTCCGGGCTCCATGTTCGTCTTCCTACAGTCTCTGACCGTCCTCAACAGACCTCCCCTGGGATGCAACATCAATGTGGTACGTATGCTGTTTCCATTTCTCCACCTTTTTTTTTTTTTTTTAAACCATAAAAATACTTGGAAGACAGCTGAAGCGAGCACACCATTTTCTTCGGGAAATGTACCTTCCCTAGTTTTGCATTCGGTTGTTGTCATTAATGTCCTGTGTCCGTGACGTGTCCTACAGAAAGTATTTGAGGTGCCTTCAACAGCAGAGCAGAAGAAGATTCCTTTCTCAAGAGTGAACCATGCCAAGTACATGGTGACAGACAGAGTCGTCTATATAGGTACTGCACATCACGACTCACTACTCATTGGACAAAATGTCTGTTGTTTTTATGGATTTGATTCTGCTGCAAAACCAACGTCTGCTGTTTTTTTTGTTTTTTGTTTTACAGTATAAACATCACATTGCAATTAGCATTCTGATGTACACAGAAACTTTGACCTGCCATATCAGTGCACTAACTTGTATCTCGTATTGTGTGAACACAGGAACCTCCAACTGGTCAGAGAACTATTTCACCCACACTGCAGGTGTTGGGCTGGTGGTGAACCAGACAGGTTCTGTGGTGGGAGACGGTCAGAGGAGTTTACAGACCCAGCTACAGGAGGTCTTCTTAAAGGACTGGACGTCTCAATACGCCCAAACCCTTTCCAATGACGACGCCAAACACTGTGGTAGATGATGCTAACCGTGATGGCCCGTGGCTCTGCATCCCAAATGGCACCCTATTCCATATATAGTGCACTACTTTTGTCCAGAAAAAAAATAGTGCACTATGTAGGGAATAGGGTGCCATTTGTGACGCGACCCCATATTGTTTTTGGCATATACTTTCACTGGTGCTCAGTGTGCTGCCTATCACAAGAGCATGCGCTTACATTGCATTTAATGCTTACAAATTGTTTTAAACAACTCACATTTCATAATTCTGTTCTGTTACATGCAGCATTTGACTATATGTATGTAAATTTTTTGGTGTATACATATTTTCTACTTGAGTTATTTGCGGTAACTTTTTTTTCGCTTCTCAATGGAAGTGTCAATATTGAAATCATCTTGAAGTTCTGTTTTTGATCAATTTCCTTTTCTTTGACTGACTGACACTGTCAGTGACTCGAGGCATGTGTTGTCTATAAGGGAAAAGACTGATTACCTGTCAGTGTCATGCCAGGTGCATTTATGTGTTATGTTATCTGTTGATACTGTTTACAACCAAAGATGTTTCAACTTCATTCTTGTTCTTGAAATTAAATATTTGTTATTATTTTTAAGCCCACGAATCCTTGTCTTTGTATCATAATCAGTGATCACATTATTGGACCAAAAAAGCTATAGTGTTTATGATCCAGTCTGTTTTAAGCTGATGAAAGATACAGGGCTTTTATTTTGAAATCGGACGTCACGGGGAATATTCTGCCCCGGAAGTGAAACTTATTCCAGAAATCAAACATTACCATCTGCCTGTCATGTGCCGCTGGATTTAAATAATAATTTAGAAACGATAACCATTATTTTCTGATAAATTAAACAGAAGGCTACAATCAAGGAAGCGTGAGCGGGAAATCATGTTTTATCATGTAAGATGTTCGATTTGTATGATCTTGTGACGATAACAAACACCACCATGGTGGCTAACTATGCTATCGCTAGTGCTAGCTGGTTGGCTAGCTATCTAGCTCACTGCTCTGTTAACCAACTGTTGCCAAAATGAAACATCTACGTCCATAATAGTTCTGCATATTTAACTGTTTGATACCTCTGGTGATGATAGTTTGTTAAGAAAGCCAGCTATGAATCCGATAGCTACATGTTACTTTAGGGTGTTTTCACACTTGGACCCTTTCAGCCAATTTTTGTGAACTCAGTGCGTTTTTTTGTGCAGTGTGACTCCTCAAAAGAGCCCCCGAACCGAACTGAGACCATCTCGACAGGTGGTCTGAGTTTGATTCGCTTGAATTCAGCGGTCCGGTTCACTTTTGCAGGATAATGTGAACGCAAAGCTCCATATGTTCTCTTGTCAATATTCCCGCCCCACACTAGACTACTGCAACACCGTTTCCCTTGCCATAAACCATCACGCTGGCGCCACAAAAGAGAGATGATGATGTGTAGGTTTGCAGAAAAAAATGTTTTTTCATATTTATTAGCGATTGTCAAAGACGCACAGAAATTCGTTTTTAGTTCAGATTATTTGTTTGCAATATGTGATCAATAGGCTGAGAGCGTCATAAACTGTTTGAATAGTGTGAGAAGACAATTTATTTGGTGAGAATCACAACATAGGTACAAAATCTGTTTTAACTCTTAAAGGGGCAGTAGCCTACCTTGGGTGTACAATTTTCAATTACAGCATTATTTATTCTGCAGTTATTCTATTGCTATTTATTTTTGCTAGCTATCAAATGTACATGTTAATAGTATCTTCTGATTAGAATGATGTATAATAGTTTTACTAAATGCTATCTATTAGCTTCCAAAATGTAAGTAGGTATATCTAGCAGTCGGATAACACATTCTGATTAATTGGCTTGTCCTGCACTTTGTAAAAACCCAGAGTGCATGTAGATGGAAGATCTTGTTTCCTTTCTTAACAGCAATGTGAATGCAAAGAGGACAAAATAGGTGAAGTGAACTGGCAAAATAGTTGAGTCCTTAGTCAAAGGCAAGGGCAGTGTGAATACAAAGAGAACTGAGTTCTTTAGCTATTTTCTTTACCCCAGAGTTCACTTGAAAGAGGACTGAGATGGGTTATTTTAAAGAGGACTATACGTGAAAACGCCCTTAGACTCAATGAAAGTAAGTGCTGGCATTCTCAGCAATAAACAGTATGACTTGTAAAGTACTAAGTTACCTATTGTAAAAACAAACTTTACACTAACTATATATATATAAACTCAGCAAAAAAAGAAACGTCCTCTCACTGTCAACTGCGTTTATTTTCAGCAAACTTAACATGTGTAAATATTTGTGTGAACATAAGATTCAACAACTGAGACATAAACTGAACAAGTTCCACAGACATGTGACTAACAGAAATGGAATAATGTGTCCCTGAACAAAGGGGGGGGGGGGGTCAAAATCAAAAGTAACAGTCAGTATCTGGTGTGGCCACCAGCTGCATTAAGTACTGCAGTGCATCTCCTCATGAATTGCACCAGATTTGCCAGTTCTTGCTGTGAGATGTTACCCCACTCTTCCACCAAGGCACCTGCAAGTTCCCTGACATTTCTGGGGGGAATGGCCCTAGCCCTCACCCTCCGATCCAACAGGTCCCAGACGTGCTCAATGGGATTGAGATCCAGTCTCTTTGCTGGCCATGGCAGAACACTGACATTCCTGTCTTGCAGGAAATCACGCACAGAACGAGCAGTATGGCTGGTGGCTTTGTCATGCTGGAGGGTCATGTCAGGATGAGCCTGCAGGAAGGGTACCACATGAGGGAGGAGGATGTCTTCCCTGTAACGCACAGCGTTGAGATTGGCTGCAATGACAACAAGCTCAGTCCGATGATGCTGTGACACACTGCCCCAAAGGGAGTGCTCCTAATCTCAGTTTGTTACCTGTATAAAAGACACCTGTCCACAGAAGCAATCAATCAATCAGATTCCAAACTCTCCACCATGGCCAAGACCAAAGCGCTCTCCAAGGATGTCAGGGACAAGATTGTAGACCTACACAAGACTGGAATGGGCTACAAGACCATCGCCAAGCAGCTTGGTGAGAAGGTGACAACAGTTGGTGCGATTATTCGCAAATGGAAGAAACACAAAATAACTGTAAATCTCCCTCGGCCTGGGGCTCCATGCAAGATCTCACCTCGTGGAGTTGCAATGATCATGAGAACGGTGAGGAATCAGCCCAGAACTACACGGGAGGATCTTGTGAATGATCTCAAGGCAGTTGGGACCATAGTCACCAAGAAAACAATTGGTAACACACTACGCCGTGAAGGACTGAAATCCTGCAGCGCCCGCAAGGTCCCCCTGCTCAAGAAAGCACATATACAGGCCCGTCTGAAGTTTGCCAATGAACATCTGAATGATTCAGAGGAGAACTGGGTGAACGTGTTGTGGTCAGATGAGACCAAAATCAAGCTCTTTGGCATCATCTCAACTCGCCGTGTTTGGAAGAGGAGGAATGCTGCCTATGACCCCAAGAACACCATCCCCACTGTCAAACATGGAGGTGGAAACATTATGCTTTGGGGGTGTTTTTCTGCTAAGGGGACAGAACAACTTCACCGCATCAAAGGGACGATGGACGGGGCCATGTACCGTCAAATCTTGGGTGAGAACCTCCTTCCCTCAGCCAGGGCATTGAAAATGGGTCGTGGATGGGTATTCCAGCATGACAATGACCCAAAACACGCGGCCAAGGCAACAAAGGAGTGGCTCAAGAAGAAGCACATTAAGGTCCTGGAGTGGCCTAGCCAGTCTCCAGACCATAATCCCATAGAAAATCTGTGGAGGGAGCTGAATGTTCGAGTTGCCAAACGTCAGCCTCGAAACCTTAATGACTTGGAGAAGATCTGCAAAGAGGAGTGGGACAAAATCCCTCCTGAGATGTGTGCAAACCTGGTGGCCAACTACAAGAAACGTCTGACCTCTGTGATTGCCAACAACGGTTTTGCCACCAAGTACTAAGTCATGTTTTTCAGAGGGGCCAAATACTTATTTCCCTCATTAAAATGCAAATCAATTTATAACATATTTGACATGCGTTTTTCTGGATTTTGTTGTTGTTATTCTGTCTCTCACTGTTCAAATAAACCTACCATTAAAATTATAGACTGATCATGTCTTTGTCAGTGGGCAAACGTACAAAATCAGCAGGGGATCAAATACTTTTTTCCCTCACTGTATGTGTGTATATATATATATATATATATGATCATTTACAGATTTCCCTGGAGCATGAGATCCTGCTCCACCCTCGGTACTTTGGTCCCAACCTCCTGAACACTGTGAAACAGAAGCTCTTCACAGAAGTGGAGGGAACATGCACAGGAAAGTGAGTGGTATTGAGCCAGGGAAGCTTCCCTTTCATTAACCTTGCTCAGGGTAGTGAAACTAACTGATATTCAGTGTGGACTCCAGGCTACATTTCAATGTAGACAAGAGACCACAAATTGTCTTTACAGTTTGCACACTTCCACAACACCTGGTTGGTTGTTTTGACCAGTAACAAGTTGATTTGCTTTGCTAAGTTAATGACTCAGTAACGCTCTGTTTCAGATATGGATTCGTCATTGCGGTGACCACCATTGACAACATTGGTGCAGGTGTCATCCAACCAGGCAGGGGATTCGTGCTTTACCCCGTCAAGTACAAGGCTATTGTCTTCCGTCCATTCAAAGGCGAGGTGGTAGATGCCGTGGTTACCCAGGTCAACAAAGTAAGGAAAGAAAGCCAGTATTCCCTATATCAGGGGTCATCAACTAGATTCATTTTTTTAATTACAAATAATTTGTTGACTGCAAATTGACCGCAAAAAAGCCCAAACAGATAAAATATTTGACTAAAACATAATTTCAAACCTTGCTTACATTTGTATACAATCACATATCTCTCTATTATGCGTGGGAATACTTTTGAACAGATTTCCAAAAATTAAAATCACTTGGAGCTGATTTGCTGGTGTTTTTACAGTCTTTTATGGCCAACAATTAATTATTTTTTGGGGGCCTCAATTTAGGGGGCCAAATAAAATCACCCGTGGGCCAAATTCAATGTTCTCGGTACAAAACAATAGGTACAAAGGTTTAAAAAAATAGACAACATGTACTGTACATAGACCTACAGGATGTCCTAATGAAAACAATCCGAGCGGTTGCATGAAAGCATTGAGTGGCTCAGTGAACTGAGACATTGGAAGGGAGTCCATGACTGAGATGTAGACATATTTCTGGGCGTCTGCGATGACGGGAGAGGATGGTGGATAGATCGTCTGAGCGTCCATAAGCTGCTATCTGAGGTGGAGCGCTCTGAAACAATGGGACAGTTTGTTTAACTATCAGTAGCATGAGTGGAAGGGGTTAGTTATTCAGACTGTGTGGAACAAATTATACCCTATTCCCTTTATAGTGCACTACTTTTGACCAGAGCCCATAGGGTGCCATGTGGGACACAGCCAAATCTTGACAAGAATATAGATCATATTGTTTTCATGATGTGGTGAAATTAATACCAGATGTTCTGTTCTTTTCAGGTTGGACTGTTCACAGAGATCGGCCCCATGTCCTGTTTCATCTCTCGTCATGTAGGTACACATGGAAGTGTCTCTTTAGTTGTTGAACGGTTTTATTGATAGACTCTTAAATGTCAATATGGTCACTTACTGTTTTCTGCAGTCCATTCCCTCAGAGATGGAGTTTGACCCCAACTCAAATCCTCCATGTTATAAGACAACCGATGAGGTAAGATCTAAAACTAGCTCTTCACTAAATAGTGGTGGTGTGGGTGTCATTTTGAAAATGAATATTTAGGATTCTGTCCTCTCCCCATTAGGACATTGTAATCCAACAGGACGATGAGATTCGGTTGAAGATCGTGGGAACAAGAGTAGATAAAAACGACATTGTGAGTATACTGTCCAATCACCATCAACTAAGAATGCCACCTGACAGCCCTATATGGTGCATTCGGAAAGTATTCAGACCCCTTGACTTTTTCCACATTTTGTTACGTTACAGCCTTATTCTAAAATGGATTAAATAAATACAAATCCTCAGCAATCCACACACAATACCCCATAATGACAAAGCGAAAACAGTTTTTTTTAAATTGTTTGCTAATTTATGACAAATAAAAAACAGAAATACCTTATTTACATAAGTATTCAGATCCTTTGCTATGAGACTCGAAATTGAGCTCAGGTGCATCCTGTTTCCATTGATCATCCTTTGAGATCAAATCAAATCAAATCAAATTGTATTGGTCACATGCGCCGAATACAACAGGTGCAGACATTACAGTGAAACTACTACTTACAGCCCTTAACCAACAGTGCATTTATTTTTAACAAAAAAAGTAAAAATAAAACAACAACAAAAAAAGTGTTGAGAAAAAAAAGAGCAGAAGTAAAATAAAGTAACAGTAGGGAGGCTATATATACAGGGGGTACCGTTGCAGAGTCAATGTGCGGGGGCACCGGCTAGTTGAGGTAGTTGAGGTAATATGTACATGTGGGTAGAGTTAAAGTGACTATGCATAAATAATTAACAGAGTAGCAGCAGCGTAAAAAGGATGGGGTGGGGGGGCAGTGCAAATAGTCCGGGTAGCCATGATTAGCTGTTCAGGAGTCTTATGGCTTCGGGGTAGAAGCTGTTGAGAAGTCTTTTGGACCTAGACTTGGCACTCCGGTACCGCTTGCCGTGCGGTAGCAGAGAGAACAGTCTATGACTAGGGTGGCTGGAGTCTTTGACAATTTTGAGGGCCTTCCTCTGACACCGCCTGGTATAGAGGTCCTGGATGGCAGGAAGCTTGGCCCTAGTGATGTACTGGGCCGTACGCACTACCCTCTGTAGTGCCTTGCGGTCGGAGGCCAAGCAGTTGCCATACCAGGCGGTGATGCAACCAGTCAGGATGCTCTCGATGGTGCAGCTGTAGAATGCTTCTACAACTTGATTGGTGTCCACCTGTGGTAAATTAAATTGATTGGATATGATTTGTAAAGGCACACACCTGTCTATATAAGGTCCCTCAGTTGACAGTGCATGTTAGAGCAAAAACCAAGCCATGAGTTCAAACGAATTTTCTGTAGTGCTCCGAGACAGGATTGTGTCGAGGCACAGATCTGGGGAATGGTACCAAAAAATGTCTGCAGCATTGAAGGTCCCCAAGAACACAGTGGCCTCCATCATTCTTAAATGGAAGAAGTTTGGAACCACCAAGACTCTTCCTAGAGCTGGCCGCCCAGCCAAACTGAGCAATCGGGGGAGAAGGGCCTTGGTCAGGGAGGTGACCAAGAACCCAATGGTCACTCTGACAGAGCTCTAGAGTTACTCTGTGGAGATGGGCGAACATTCCAGAAGGACAACCATCTCTGCAGCACTCCACCAATCAGGCCTTTATGGTAGAGTGGCCAGACGGAAGCCACTCCTCAGTAAAAATCCAGGCTCTGTCGCAGCCGGCCGCGACCGGGAGACACAATTGGCCCAGCGTCGTCCAGGGTAGGGGAGGGAATGGCCGGCAGGGATGTAGCTCAGTTGATTGAGCATGGCGTTTGCAACGCCAGGGTTGTGGGTTCGATTCCCACGGGGGGGCAAGTATAAAAAAAATATATATGTATTCACTAACTGTAAGTCGCTCTGGATAAGAGCGTCTGCTAAATGACGTAAATGTAAATGTAAATGTAAAAGGCACATGACAGCCCGCTTGGAGTTTGCCAAAAGGCACCTAAAGACTCTCAGACCATGAGAAACAAGATTCTCTGGTCTGATGAAACCAAGATTGAACTCTTTGGCCTGAATGCCAAGCGTCACGTCTGGAGAAAACCTGGCTCCATGCCTACGGTGAAGCATGGTGGTGGCGGCATCATGCTGTGGGGATGTTTTTCAGCGGCAGGGACTGGGAGACTAGTCAGGATCGAGGCAAAGATGAACGGAGCAAAGTACAGAGAGATCCTTGATGAAAACCTGCTCCAGAGCGCTCAGGACCTCAGACTGGGGTGAAGGTTCACCTTCCAACAGGACAACGACCCTAAGCACACAGCCAAGACAACACAGGGGTGGCTTCGGGAGAAGTCTCTGAATGTCCTTGAGTGGCCCAGCCAGAGCCCGGACTTGAACCCGATCGAACATCTCTGGAGAGACCTGAAAATAGCTGTGCAGCAACACTCCCCATCCAACCTGACAGAGCTTGACAGGATCTGCAGAGAAGAATGGGAAAAACTCTTCAAATACAGGTGTGCCAAGCTTGTAGCGTCATACCCAAGAAGACTCGATGCTGTAATCGCTGCCAAATGTGCTTCAATAAAGTACTGACTAAAGGGTCTGAATACTTATGTAAATGTGATATTTACGTTTTATTTTTTTTATAAATTAGCAAACATTTCTAAAAACCTATTTTTGCTTTATCATTATGGGGTATTGTGTGTAGATTGATGAGGGGAACAAAACAATTTAATCAATTTTAGAATAAGGCTGTAACGTAACAAAATGTGGAAACAATCAAGAGGTCTGAATACTTTCCGAAGGCACTGTATATCCTCACAGATTGCAAACAACCGCTCGCTATTTAAAACCTGAAATATTTCCATAGTCTCATCGCTATAAACAGCCCTGCAAGTTGTAATGTTGAATATTTGCTTTCCTCTTTTTCAGTTTGCCATTGGATCCCTCATGGATGATTACCTGGGTATGTTGGCGTTTTCATTTTTATTAGTAGTCTTCTTTCATAGGTGTTAAAGAAATGTTTGAAAGATTGAATTGATCTGCAATTCATTTTTTCTGTTTCTGTTCTCAGGTCTTGTCAGCTGATGTCCCTGCAGTGCTATGCTGGTGTATCAACATACATCTCTCATATTTCATGTAAACTCCCCTACAATACAGTACTGTCAATACTAATATTTTTCTAGGTTGATAATGTGGTATTGCTGCAAATTGTGAAGTTCTAAATGTGGAAGGATCAATGATCCTTTGACACAGTATGAATAGATACTATTGAAACTACCCAGAGCCTGTTGATAAGCAGGTGGTTATGTTGCCGTATTAATCGCTACTGTATCGTCGGAGTTACCCTTCAGATGTTGTTGTATATTGTATTTTTACAACTTGTGAACTGAAATAAATGTTTATATTTTTTGTTAATGTTGACCTTGTCTCCATTAAATGTTCAGTCATTGCAAAATATATTTTACCTGGAGGTCTGCTCCATTTTGTATGCGTTGTGCTTTTTAAAATTATACACACAAAAAACAAATGGGATACAGACCTATACATCACATTCAATCAATGGAAATTCATTGAAACCTACTTAGAAAAATAAATTACACATTTTATTGTTGAAACGCAAAATCGTGGCAACTTTGTTTATATTGCTTTTAGTGTCCACAATGCAATTCTACCGGAAATGGGCGTGGCTTCATAACGTTTTCAGATATGAAGAAAATGGCGGAAAATATGCAGCCGGAGTCCGACGAGCGTGGAGACAAATTCATTGCTTTAACTTATTATGACACATTTTAAGAAAATGTTGAGCAATGTAATAAAATAATGACTTTTAAAATAAGTTAAGTTACACGTTATTTTGGCTGACAATTTGTTAGCTACGCTATCCTATAGCATTACAGCAGTATGTACCGCGGTATGTTAGCTAGTTACCTAACGTTAGTTGGCTACTAATACATCGAACTTGCCAGGCAGTATATTATCTATATGCCAACTAACTAACTAACCAACGTTTATTGACTTGATTATTCACGTAATTTTTAGTTAAGTGGTATAGTCGTTGTGCGTTCTCTATGGACATTGTTAACTCTGGCTATCTACTCCGATTTCAGAGCACTGTCGTCAGTGTGGGTAACATAAAAACAACCTAACCAGCTCTGCTAGGGCGAGTAAAATGGTCAGAGTGAGGTGTTCTCTCATTTGTGTTTGGAAGCAGTTAGCTTGGGTGCTTGTATTTGGAAGCAGCTAGCCAGTTAGCTTGGGTGCTTGTGTCTGGAAGCAGCTAGCCAGTTAGCTTGGGTGCTTGACTGCCGTTGTGAGGTCAGAAAGCTCGGATCAGTACATCATTAATGAGAGACTGGGTAGCGTCCAGTGTAGTGTGCGCTCTGAATGATCCGAGAGCCGAAACGCTCGGAATTTACGAACACTCCCGAAATCGTAAAATGTCTAGCTAGTAATATATTATGCTAGCAAGAGGTTGCATAGCAACAGCATCAACTTCCGGTAGACAGGCGAAGCGCTAGTACTTAAAGGATACTGTTTGTTTACAGTATAATTAAATTAACTAATAGTATGTAGTATACAGTACGTTAGTGTGGGTATTCGAACACAGCTCATATTTTCTTGTTTGGGCAAAATGCCATTTAATTCCAGCATTTTCAGTCAACGTTTGATTTCAGCGACGCGCCCCAACAGGCAGTAAATACGTCACTGGTGTGCGCCTTGGTTCTTCCTTTCTCTCGTCCTAAAGATGGCGACAGGGGTGAGTAAGATGGAGAGATGCTTTGTCACTGAATTTTTATTTGCATTTCAGCAACCATCTGTACAGAATCTGCCCCATCCGTCAACTTATCAATTACCCTTTAGTATATCTGACATAGTTAGCCCATTTAAACTTCATTTCCATGTTTATTTGTTCCCCTCATACAGTCTTTCTTGACGATGCAGCGTAATAGCATTCGCGGTGGTAAAATGACGCCTCTTTCCGTGCTTTGTGCCACGTTGGGTTCTTCAGAGTCCGTGACGAATAATGAATGATAATTACTTGCTGTCGATTTTATACCTCCCGCGTGTCATGGCTTATTTACAGCTTTTATTTGTCAATCAAAGTATCCAAATATTGCCATCCGGAGTCTCTGGGTAGCATACTTGTGGCTACTTAGCTAACTAGTTAGGTACCTAATGGAAAGTAGGTGGTACTAGCTAACAGTAGGTGGCAAACTAACTCGTTTGCTTGCTGTTTGGATAGGGTTGTGGCCAACTTTGGGGGTAAGCCACTACCAATGCAGGATATTCATTATGGTTGCCAAAGCATCATCTTTGTGATCCGCCAGTGATGTACCGTGATGACTTGGCATAACTTTGCTTTTAGCTAGTTCAGTAGCCAATGCAAATAAGTGAAATTTAAAGGGGTATATCCTCTGCCCGCATTGGGTGTAACTATAGGCCAATAATGCTTGCATATCTTGTAGATTCCCAACACCCAGGGTCTAATTGAGTTGGTTGTTGTATAGCTGTTGTGAGATATTAGGAATACATTTTTGGCACTGGAATGGCTATTTTTTGCATGTAATAAGCTGTTCTGTTACTGACATCGTCCTGATGTATTTTGGCTATGCATTAAAATGCTTTTACCAGTAATCAGCTTCCAGGCTAGCCCAAAGGCTGGCAGATTGTGATATTGAGTCGTTTCATCTTACCATCCGAAGTTAGTGTATGCAGCTGGCTATACACCCCTATCCCCCGTGGTTAGTACATAAAACATTATCCATTCAGTGACTAATATCTAGGAATGCAAGTCTCGGATGTTGCGTATTGCGTTTAGCCAATCGGGCTGCAGCAGTCTGTTTATCCCTGGCTAAACGCTGGGCACAACATATGGAAGTAGCATTAGCCAATAGCATGGTAGAAAATTATGTTTTATAAAGAAAGTGAGCATATTTGGCCCGTTTTTTTTTTTAAATGCCTACTCGCCATTACATCTTGTTAAGGAGGAAATCCATTCCTTTGCAGCCTGACTGGAGAATGTTTTATGTACGAACCGGTCCACATGGGATAGGAATGCACCAATTTGTAAGTCGCTCTGGATAAGAGCGTCTGCTAAATGACGTAAATGTAATACGAGTATAATAGCCGGCTGCATACGTTCCCTTTGACGGTAAAATGGAACGACTCCATGTCGCCATCTGCCGGCCTTTGGGATACATCTAGGACTATTTCCTACCATTGATGATGTGGTGAGAACGGATGTAGGCATCTCTATTGTATGTCCACCAGGCCTGTTCCAAGTCATTTACGTCATTGTCTAAATGCCCGTGTCAATGAATAATCTGAATTGGCAGTGGCGGTCATGAATTTTTGTCAGCTGGTGATTTTTCAAGCAAATAACTGCCGGTCTCACTGTAATTGACCATTAATGAACATAAACAGGTTTACCATCTCCTGGCTTTCATGCATAGCCTATAAGCCTGATGCAGACCTTTCGGAACATCTACATAAAACAACATTAGAATAAATAATTGTAATATAGCCTACACCATCACAATAAATCCATTATTTATTTTAGACAGGTCTGAAGAAACATATGAAGAAAATGTAGTCTATTTCAGAAGAACAGAATAGTGTACTCTGAGTTGTCCTTATGTTGAGGCCCTGAACTGGCTATGGCTGTGGGTTACAGTAGTTCATTTAGCAGACAAGATTTGCTTAGAATTCCGTGGCATTATTTTATAGTATGTAGAGTACAATTGAACAAAGCTGAATAAAATAGAAAGGATATTTTCTCCAAACGATTTCGGAGGGAGTGTGCACATGAGGCTATTCTGTGTTGAGCGGTTAACAAATCAACAGTTCCTCCTATATGCTTAATTTAGTTATTTTGGCAACCTTTGTTGTGATACAAATGTTGGGGTATAAGTTTGGATTTTTAATACATTCTAAGGCTGCATGATGTGACTAATGATGATTTCAAAAAAGTGACATGAAAGGCATGAGTTCTGCATTGTATCTTGCTCAGGCTGCACACACTTCATCAGTCTCTCATTCACAATTTGACAAGCACTTGATAATATTCTCACCAGGCCTTGAATTTCTCGTGGTATTCCCCTTGTGTGGCCGTAATGGCCCCTAAAAAAAATTCCATGCCTTTTTTATAATTCCCTTCTCCCGGCTGCCAGTTGCCCTGCTCCAAAGCACCTCTCACTCACACGGCTCTCTCAGATATCTCAATTCTTATTAGCTAAGCCCGTCACGTGATCGGGTCCTTCTCACAGGCATCTCAGCTCCGAAGTAGGCTACAAGTGAAGACCGACACATCGGGGACGCAACTGCGCGCTTCATCGAATTCCAAGGCCCATATTGAAGATATTGTCAGCCAACAAGATGAGTAGGCCTAACGAACAGCAAAAGCACTAGCCTATGTCAATCTACTATCCCCCATAGTACCAAAGTTGACATATTCTATTGGTCAACTTGTTCTTCAGTGCGAGAAATAGCTATTCCATACATAGTCTGGGACAGTTGTGGGATGCGATAGATCCCAAATTAATACAACCACTAGCATCAATAAACCCTTTTAAACACAATGACGCTGATGCAACAGATCAGAACGGTAGGCTCTACACCGGTTGTAATGCGGATTAATGTGCTCAATTTTAAGAAGTTATTTGGCCACTTCAGTTGTGATACAAACCTTATCAAAACATAGGCCTATAGGCTAGGCTACATGAGGTGTGCGACTATGATTTGAAAAAGTTGCCCAAAAAAAAGGCATGCAGTGTTTCTTGCCTTACTGCACACGCTGGGCATCATTCACAAGCCAGGTAGGCTATACTCCTGTTGTAAAGCGCAGCAATAAACTTACTATTAGGAAAGTTGAGAAATAAATATAGTAGGCCTAGCCTATAGCTGATGGGATCCTCCTCTTTTTAATAGAGGCCATCAAAACTCTGTTTTCTCACGCAATTCCATAGCCTATAGAAATGTTGCGCAACAAACATGAAGTGTTTGATTTAGATTTTTGATAACAGAGTGATTAGAGGGACAATAGAGCACTGAGTACCAGGCAGTTAGCAAGTTTGGTAGGCTACTAATGACCAGCAGAAGCATCAGCGCTTGGAGAAGCATAGTTACCGGGACTAAACAGTCACGTGGAATTTCACTGCCTTCTTGACTCGTGACCGCCGGTGTGGCGGTAATACGGTCACCGCAACAGCCCTGAGTAGGACTAGGCTGTTTATCTGTGTCCGGGAAACTGTCCCATACTGTAGGGTGTCTGCACACTCTGCCCCAAGTGGTTGGAAACAAGCTTTGGTAATTACGTTTCACTTCCTTGTGTTATAAAATACATTTTACCAAGACAAATATGATTATTCATGTTCTGAATCGTTGAGTGGGATCTTTCTCTAACGTATCGACATTTATATCCAAAAAGTTGAATTTCGTAACCTAATACAGCCAATAATAATTTACATTTTAGTCATTTAGCAGACGCTCTTATCCAGAGCGACTTACAGTTAGTAATTAAATTACATTATTTTTTATTTTTTTATACTGGCCCCCCGTGGGAATCGAACCCACAACCCTGGCGTTGCAAACGCCATGCTCTATCAACTGAGCTATATCCCTGCCGGCCATTCCCTCCCCTACCCTGGACGACGCTGGGCCAATTGTGCGCCGCCCCATGAGTCTATCACAGAGCTCTGTTGACCGCGCGGCGCCGCTTTCTCACAGCGACTTTTGATTATTTTACACGTGGTTATCGTTTGCAAAGTGGTTTCCACGGGTCGCAAAATTAACGCGACGCTGAGCCTGAATTCAATGTAAAAGGCTTCGAAGATAAAAACGTTTGCTGTGCTCTCAGTGCTACGTTGACATTTCACAGAGATACGCTTGTTTTTGTGAGAAATCTTTGAAAAAAAGAACAGGAATTTGGCATTAATCTGAAAAGCGTATATACTAAAATATGAAAATGCTACATGTCATGTCGCAATCGATATCTGCCAATCCTCTGTTTTATATCCGCCTGATTGGAGAAGAAATATGAGGAGTTCAACGGTGAGCCTCTCAGGTAGCCTTAACTCTCTCACAGCATCCAGCCCTACTGACGCAATGCTGTTTTCCTGATTTTTTTTTTTTGTTGACCACTTTATTTTTCTCTGGCCTCCATTGATTAAGTCACCCTAATTTTGGTCATCCTACAAGGGTATAAAAACTCCAATAAGTTTTGTTTATATACACAATTATACATATTATTAACATAATTTGACACATTGGTCAAAAGGTGTTTTTGATTGAACACTCTACATAGCCTACTGTTAAAAACCCCATAGTGATGTAGCTACTGGTGATTCTACTAGTCGATCCTACCTAAACCACCACCTGGATCGAGATGGACTGCTGTGTACAGGGGTTTCCCCCCCCCCCCCCATTTTAATGTAGTTGTGATGGTTCCCTCTCCTCCCGTCCACAGACTCTGTACACGTATCCAGAGAACTGGAGAGCCTTCAAGGCTCAGATTGCAGCCCAGTACAGTGGGGCACGCCTCAAGGTACCGTTTTGACCTGCCTTATCATATGTATTTATTCTTATTGTCCTGTGATTGTTTTTACTATGGCTGTAAGGAGGACAAACTTAAGTCTGCGTTTACACAGGCAGCCCAATTCTGATCATTTGCCACCAATTAGGTCATTTGACCTATCAGTTATTTTGCCCGTAATTGGTCAAAATATCAGAATTGTGCTGCCTGAGTAAACACAGCCTAATTTCCTCTTGGGATTAATAAAGTATCATCTCATCTCTCTCTAAGGTGGCCAGCAGCGCCCCTGCCTTCACCTTTGGGCAGACGAACCGTACCCCTGCCTTCCTCAACAACTTCCCCTTGGGCAAGGTCGGTTTCTGCATCGGTTTTGTAATGGGATCTGTCTTAAATGGCACCCTATTCCCTACACAGTGCACTACTTTTGACCCAGGGTCTTATATAGGGAATAGGGTGCCACTTGGGATACTGCCGTGGTTTACAGTGTCCTTGAACTTGGATGATAAGATGTTGTATTGTCTGTGGTAGCAGGCCTATATTACCAACATAGTTTGTATGATGCAATGATGTTTTGAATTTCTTCACCTGAAATAATCATGAAGTTTTCATTTGAGCTTTTTAACCCTGAGCATCAGAAGTAAGCATTTACTATTTTAAGACTTCTGGGTCGATCATAGCCTGGTCCCAGATCTGTTTGTGCTTTCATATCAACTCCTTGTCATGCCAAACACTGCATGATGGCACAAACAGACTGGTGCCCAAGCTAGATTGAACATGGGTTTCATATCAATGCTGTATTTTCCCATAGAGTAAAAAAATATATGTTGGTGTCGCCCATCTAGGACAGGTGTTGAAAATGGACTCAAGCTAATCAAATAAATGACTGAATCTGTTTTCCTTTTTTAAACCGTCTCCCTCATCAGGTTCCAGCCTTTCAGGGCGACGACGGCTTTTGTCTTTTCGAGAGTAATGCCATTGCTCACTACCGTAAGTCTGCTTTTCACATCCTGTATTTTTCTGTGGATACGTCCCAAATGGCATCCTATTCTCTATATAGTGCACTACATTTGACCAGGTGCCATAGGGCAGTGTTCCCTCAAAGTTCAGGTCTGCTGAGCGCAAACTTCAACGTTGTGAAAATTCTGTGCAACTTCCGGCGTGTTGTTTACTGTGAACTCTGAGGCTGTACCCGCTTTAAGTTAGCCACTGTTAAAACTATTTGATCATAATGTAGGCCTACCAGAGTGGCCTACCATCAAAAACAATGGAGAAAATGCATCCCATAACATTTTAACATGGAAATAGCTGTTCAGTCACTCAGCCTACAGTAGCAGCCAATGTGTGGTGTTCAATGTAGGCCTACATTCCATGAGACTTTTTTTTAGAACATGCAGGGCTTAACATTAACCTGTTTATCCACTTGACCTTCAGACAAGGAGGTGACTGAAAATGTTGTTGTGGTGTTTCATGCAAGAAACAAAATCAAATGCATTATTATTCCCATACCATTATTACAGAGAATCAGAGAATTTATGCTACCCTATACCTATTGGCTACTTAGCTTATCCAAGCCTGTCTCAAAGTAAATCCCTGCGACTTTGAGGCAAAAAAAAAAAAGCTCTTTACCAGACTCGCTTTTCAAAGATGGCTAAAAATGCACAAGTACTCTTGTAAGGATTCACACCCCTATTGCTGACTACAAATGATCACTAACTAGCAAAGGATGTGAACAAAATGTGCAGCTCTCGCTTTGATCTCAAAACAAGCGCATCTACTCACAACCACTCATGCTGTAAACACAGTCCAGTTCAAAGTGATTGAAACACATATCCATAAATGGCAATGGTCTATTTGCATATAGGCCTACTGCAGCTCTGATTGGTTGAGTCGTGCCTGTCTAAGCAATAGAATCCTACTCCGATTCGTTCTGCCTACAACCAAAATCTCTTGCATAATTACCTTGGCATATTAATAAGTCTTGCATAGTTTTTGTTTCGGTATGTTGGATTGAAAGTGGCTAATGTTGCGTTGATTCTATCACAATTCCCACAGTAAAGGGAAACGTTGATAGTGTTAACTAACGGGGGAAACTCTTGAAAGTTGAGTGAAGTTCAATCTCGTGCTTCTCTGCGCGGGCTGATATTTCTTCTGTGTGCTGATCTTAGAGGGAACATTGGCCATAGGGTAGTGCACTATGTAGGGAATATGAGGTCATTTGGGACTTGGCATTATGTACTCTAGCCCTTCCACATTTTCTGTGGACTATAAGTGCCTGAAGATGGATTGTTTTGATCCTTTAAGACAGGGGTGGCCAGCTACCCTCCTCCTTGATAGCTACCCTCATACAGGGTTTGGTTTCCAACTGCCATAATTGAACATCCGATTCTACTAATCAGCTGCCAATCATGAACTTGATTGGCTGCGTCGGGTGTTTTGTTTTGGGGGTGCAACCTTGGGCTTCAGCCCCATTCTCCACCCTTCTTCCAGTGTACATTTGCACACTTTCTCACATGGATTTAACAAGGTTGCAGAATTGGGTGACAGCCCAAGCCTGTTTAGCCAGTATCTCTCCAGAGGCCTCATTTATCAATATCTAATATGCAAAGCTAGATCCGCTATCATGAAAAATGCATACACAAAATCCATGTGAGATTTATAAAAAAAATCTTATCTCTGTAGTTGTTATGCAGACGGTAGTGTATGCTAGAGAGTAGTGTTGGGCGGTATACTGAGGTATTTAGAAATAGCCACGGGATGGTTTTTAATACTGTCAATACCGTTAACTATTTCTTTGAAGTTTTTCCCAATACATTTTGAATATTTGTAGCTACTTAAGGAAATACCTGCATTCAACTTGTGCAATATGGTAGGAGATAAAGCAAATTGCGTTATTCATTTTGCCTGTCACATTTATTTTTCATTATGAAGCTTACCGTAGTTCCCCAGAACAGCAGCCAGTCACGTGTTCGTTGTAAAGAGCACAACAGGAGAAAGCTGGAGCTGGTGAGTCCATAGTGTTCTATATCTATCAGTGAGTCTCTGCTGGTGAGTCCATAGTGTTCTATATCTATCAGTGAGTCTCTGTTGGTGAGTCCATAGTGTTCTATATCTATCAGTGAGTCTCTGCTGGTGAGTCCATAGTGTTCTATATCTATCAGTGAGTCCATAGTGTTCTATATCTATCAGTGAGTCCATAGTGTTCTATATCTATCAGTGAGTCCATAGTGTTCTATATCTATCAGTGAGTCCATAGTGTTCTATATCTATCAGTGAGTCCATAGTGTTCTATATCTATCAGTGAGTCCATAGTGTTCTATATCTATCAGTGAGTCTCTGCTGGTGAGTCCATAGCGTTCTATATCTAGCAGTGAGTCTCTGCTGGTGAGTCCATAGTGTTCTATATCTATCAGTGAGTCCATAGTGTTCTATATCTATCGGTGAGTCTCTCTTGGTTGTGCGGCTCACATGAGGTGATGAAGTATGCCATTCACTACTAAATGTTTCTCATCAGATATCTTATAACTGTCTAAGATGTGCTGTACTCTCCGGCTGTGTATTTGGTTGGTTTCTTGTTAGTTGTGTAAGGAAGTTGCTGAGTTAATAAAGACACAGTGTTAGCTTTCTGCTGTATTTTAGGAGTCAAAGATCTCTGGGTGAGTTCTCTGTAGAGCTTCCCACTAGTGTTTTTCCCCCCCTGTGCTTCCACTAGTGTTTTTTCCCCCACTGTGCTTCCCGCTAGTGTTTTTTCCCCCCCTGTGCTTCCCGCTAGTGTGTGTTTTCCCTAGTGCTTCCCGCTAGTGTGTTCCCCCCCCCCCCCCGTGCTTCCCGCTATTGTTTTCTTCCTCCTCTGTTCTCCTCCCCTCTGCTCTGTGATCACATGCTGCTCTTCCTTCAAACAAGCATGCATCAACTCTTTTTATTTGCATTATTTCTCTCGTTCACTTTCGCTTGTAAATGTCCACTAGCTATAAATGGCTACTAGCTATACTTTTATAACTTCATGAGCTGGATGTGCCTGTCTTTGCAATTACGTTGTTATTTTGCGCTTGTTAGCATTTAGCTAAAAGCGTCCATGGGAATTCAAGATTACTTGTGCTAATTTTGTTAGCATTCTGGTAATTGACGCCCAGTGGGCTTTTTGTTTCTAGCGCCCCCTTTGTGTGCTATGACGATAATACCGTAAATCCTGGGATGGCAGAAGAACAGTATGAGGGTATGAAAATCTGCATACCGCCCCAAGGCTACTAGAGAACTGCAATGGTTTGAGGCCCTGTCCTCTCCTGTAGTGTCTAATAAAGCATGGTTTCCCAAACTCTGTCCTGCCCCCCCCGGTGCATGTTTAGTTTTTTTGTGCTAGTGCTACACAGCTGATTCAAATAACCGGCTCATCATAAAGCTTTGATTATTTGAATCAGCTGTTTAGTGATTGGGCAAAAAAACCTAAATGTGTGCCCAGGGGGGCCCCATGACTGTGTTTGGAGAAACCCTGTGCTAGAGAACTGAGATGGTTTGAGGAGGCCTTGTTGTGTTTCCTCCATGCAAGGCTATAGGTAAACCTCACACAGAAAACAAAACGAAATTGTTTAACCTCTATGCTTCTTAAACGTTGGTAAATGCTGAAATCATTGAGGGGGGGGGGGAATAACTACTGTTAGCAAACAGTTAACAAAACTTTAATATTTTTCCTGATCAATGGCAACTGTTTAGATGATTCACAGGTTATTGACACAAGTTACTAGTTCCATCCTTAGCATTGGAAACAGCACCAGGGTCTGTCGTAGCCGGCCGCGACCGGGAGACCCATGGGGCGGCGCACAATTGGTCCAGGGTAGGGGAGGGAATGGCCGGCAGGGATGTAGCTCAGTTGGTAGAGCATGGCGTTTGCAACGCCAGGGTTGTGGGTTCGTTTCCCACGGGGGGGCCAGTATGAAAAAAATAACGTATGCACTCACTAACTGTAAGTCGCTCTGGATAAGAGCGTCTGCTAAATGACAAAACTGTAAAAATGTAAATGTATAAGGATTAACACCAGTAACCTACTGGTAGAGTATCCGCTCTGATCCTGGATACAAGTCATGACTGTACTGTGTCTTCTAAGAAAGGCCACCGGGCTGAAACGTCCACCAAATCGCCATATCCACCTTTTTTGTAAACATGGATTGAAAAGATACAGATCACGCAGCATTTTGCTTGGATTCACTGCCGTTTGGGACGGCGTTACCTGTTAAGCTCTGTGCCCACATTCCTCATCTAATGGACTGTCTTCATCCCCCAGTGAGCAATGAGGCACTGCGTGGCAGCAGTCCCCAGGCCCAGTCCCAGGTGCTTCAATGGGTGAGCTTTGCTGACGCTGAGATCATCCCTCCAGCCTCTGCGTGGGTCTTCCCCACCTTGGGAATCATGCAGTTCAACAAACAGGTATGTACTGTTATCGCTGACTCTCTTTCTGGGCGCGTTCCAGCTCCTCTTTTATTGCAGTTACACTGTAGATTATCAGATATCACAACCACGGTGGGAAATTAACTGTTTGGTCCACCAGCCACTGTGGCAGGTAAAAATCTACCAGCCACTCAGATTTTTTTAACCAGCAAAATATTTTATTTTTTCGCTTACTTAATGTAGCTAGCTAACATATTTAGGCTTTGCCTATTCCTCTCTGATTTAGAAGATACTGTTTCACAAACTACACGCTGATCTAGGCCGACACCATCACTGGTACCAGGCTGTATTAGCTAGCTAAGTTTGCTCTGACTCAGTAAAAAATTTTTTTAGCTAGCCAGCTAACTAGCGATTTAGCCTTAATCGAACACGATTTATTTTCGCAACACTTGCTAAGAAAAGACAAAACTAGCTGTTTGCAAGACAGTAAGATACAAAAAAACGAATAGTGTAATTATAGAACGCTTTGTGGATTTATATTAAGAAGTGGAAAGCTGCATCGTTGTCGCCAACATATTGTTGCTTCTGCTGCATTGACCGTTCAGACTGGAGAGGTGAAGGGTCGGCAGATGATCTCGTGGTCGAGCAACAACAACTGGGCTCCTTGAGGGGCGGGGCTTGGTGAGGGAGCGAGACGACTCGTGTAACGGAGTAAAGTATAAAAATGTAGTGCCGTATCACGTTTAACAAACCCTGAAATACTGTTATAGAAGGTAAAGTCAAACCCGAACTGGTCCTTCAGAACCAGTATATAGTCAAATACGGTTTACCACCCAGCCCTAATGCTGACTGACATATCTAATCTTGGTACAGACTGTTAGATTGTCTGTCAATCAATCGGATGTCTTTATAAAAAAGTAACAATCCTGCTTTCTGGAATACTCCACTGGGTACAAATGGCATTTGTTTTCTTTCACACCTCTGAGTACTGGGGTCTAGCCGACGACTCCTCTCTGTGGGCCCTAGTACTGAGGTCTAGCCGACGACTCCTCTCTGTGGGCCCTAGTACTGAGGTCTAGCCGACGACTCCTCTCTGTGGGCCCTAGTACTGAGGTCTAGCCGACGACTCCTCTCTGTGGGCCCTAGTACTGAGGTCTAGCCGACGACTCCTCTCTGTGGGCCCTAGTACTGAGGTCTAGCTGACGACTCCTCTCTGTGGGCCCTAGTACTGAGGTCTAGCCGACGACTCCTCTCTGTGGGCCCTAGTACTGAGGTCTAGCCGACGACTCCTCTCTGTGGGCCCTAGTACTGAGGTCTAGCCGACGACTCCTCTCTGTGGGCCCTAGTACTGAGGTCTAGCCGACGACTCCTCTCTGTGGGCCCTAGTACTGAGGTCTAGCCGACGACTCCTCTCTGTGGGCTCTAGTACTGAGGTCTAGCCGACGACTCCTCTCTGTGGGCTCTAGTACTGAGGTCTAGCCGACGACTCCTCTCTGTGGGCTCTAGTACTGAAGTCTAGCCGACGACTCCTCTCTGTGGGCTCTAGTACTGAGGTCTAGCCGACGACTCCTCTCTGTGGGCCCTAGTACTGAGGTCTAGATGACGACTCCTCTCTGTGGGCTCTAGTACTGAGGTCTAGCCGACGACTCCTCACTGTGGGCTCTAGCCGTTGGAAATGCGTCATATAGCTTTACCCTCATTTAATGCCATTAGCCCTGTGGGATATTACTGTAGAACATTACTAATAATAAATATCTACTGCCATTAGCCCTGTGGGATATTACTGCAGAACATTACTAATAATAAATATCTACTGCCATTAGCCCTGTGGGATATTACTGTAGATAGTTACTAATAATACATACAAATACAAATTTACCAAAGTAGTCTAAAGTTCACCGCTTCCTCTCTGGTTTTATTTAAATGACAATATAAATTATTGAATTTAAACATCTAGAGAATGTGAAGTCACATGCTGTAGCAATCATCTGAGATGTGCAGCAATGACTATAAAACATTCAGCAGGTGGAGGCAGTGGGCAACGTCATTTCACACTGTAGTAAAACAAGTCATTTGAAAGGCGGTTAGGTGACTAGTGCTAAATGAAGTGTCCTTAGGAGCCTACTTATCTGTTCTGGTTAAAAGTTGCTCTGCTCAAAGCTCATTTTTGGTGCCAATGTCTGTCACCCTGTAGCCTCTAGTCTTGCACAGTGTAATGTATCCATTGTAATTGCATTGCGTCACCCCCCCTCGTCTCCCTCCCAGGCAACAGAGCAGGCCAAGGAGGAGGTGAAGAGGGTTCTGTCTGTCCTGAACAGTCACCTGAACACCAGGACCTTCCTGGTTGGAGAGAGAGTCAGCCTGGCTGATATCAGCGTGGCCTGCAGCATGATCTGGCTCTATAAACAGGTTTGATGTTCTGTTTTTACTGTTGTGACGACAAATACATAGGGCTTCATGTCTCTCTGACTTAGTCTAGGTGGGTGTTTCCCTATCCGTTCCTCAAAGTACCTCTTGCACTGCACACATTTAGCTTCAGTTAACTAATCAATGGCTTGTTTTATCAGGGAACCCCTTATATTTATATAACAAACATACGCTGTCTCTCAAATTGGCTCCCTATTAAGTGCACTTATATAGGGAATAGTGTGGCATTTGGGAGTCGTACATGGGGACGGTTTACCGGAGACAGAGTAACCCTAGTGCTGGACTAAAATACACTTTCAATGGAGATTGAAAAGACTGTCAAAGGATTTTGAATCCAGGACTGGGCTTAATCTGGGTCCAGGGAAACCAGCCGATATGGCTTTGATGTCCTATAATTTAGCCTAGGGTAGTATTTCTCTCAACATTCCTCGAGGGAGTACCTTCGAGGACTGAACATATCAGCTCTAGCTTACAAGCTTTCCCAGTGGATTGGGAAACACTGGCCTAGATGTTGCCGTTTATGGTTTTAAATGACCCCCTCCTCCTGTAGGTCCTTGAGCCTTCCTTCCGCCAACCTTACCCCAACGTGACCCGCTGGTTCCAGACCTGCGTCAACCAGCCCCAGTTCAAGACTGTGCTCGGAGAGGTCAAGCTCTGCGACAAGATGGCTCAGTTTGATCGTAAGGACCGACTTTAGAATGAAGGATTGTTCCACATATTGTTCTAGTTCCATTATCTAAAAACAGTTACATGTTTTTGATAGATTTCTAAATGAGAAATATTTTGACTTTGTTTTTAATGGAGATAATTAATTAAAAAGCTTATATGAAGTAATTGTCACCCACCCAAGACGTACTATCATGACAGAGGCATCCCCCTCGTTGTGAAATCTAATCTTTGGGAGAATAACACAGGACTTTGGCACAGGTTAAAGTAGACCCAATCTACAATAATCTGACTAGAAGACCTGGGACAATAGCTGCTATATTATGAGCGGTGGCGGTACGCCCCTCTTCAAGCACTGATGGATGCTAATGTTGTGGTCAAATGGTAATAACATTTGTTTTGACGTAAAAGGATGTGAACACAAGGATACACTGGGTCTAGTCTAGGACACTACACTGGGTCTAGTCTAGGACACTACACTGGGTCTAGTCGGCAGGTAGCTTAGTGGTTAAGAGCGTTGTGCCAGTAACCGAAAGGTCGCTGGTTCTAATCCCCGAGCCGACTAGGTGAAAAATCTGTCGATGTGCCCTTGAGCAAGGCACTTAACCCTAATTGCTCCTGTAAGTCGCTCTGGATAAGAGCGTCTGCTAAATGACCTATTATTATTATTAGTCTAGGACACTACACTGGGTCTAGTCTAGGACACTACACTGGGTCTAGTCTAGGACACTACACTGGGTCTAGTCTAGGACACTACACTGGGTCTAGTCTAGGACACTACACTGGGTCTAGTCTAGGACACTACACTGGGTCTAGTCTAGGACACTACACTGGGTCTAGTCTAGGACACGACACTACACTGGGTCTAGTCTAGGACACTACACTGGGTCTAGTCTAGGACACTACACTGGGTCTAGTCTAGGACACTACACTGGGTCTAGGACACTACACTGGGTCTAGTCTAGGACACTACACTGGGTCTGGTCTAGGACACTACACTGGGTCTGGTCTAGGACACTACACTGGGTCTGGTCTAGGACACTACACTGGGTCTAGTCTAGGACACTACACTGGATTTATTATGGCTGTCTTTATTCTCCAGCCAAGAAGTTCTCTGACATGCAGCCCAAGAAAGACGCCCAGCCCAAGAAAGATACCCCTCCCAAGAAAGACGCCCAGCCCAAGAAAGAGAAAGCTGGAAAGGAGGCAGGCAAACCTCAGGAGAAGAAGAAGAAGGAGAAGGAAGCTGCCCCTGCTGTGGAGGAGATGGACGAGTGTGAAGCAGCTCTGGCTTCAGAACCCAAAACGAAGGACCCCTTCGCTCACCTGCCAAAGAGGTACGTCATATGTCCACATACATGAGGGCTATACTAAGAAGCTGGATCAATGAGTTAGCCAGCTAACTTGCCTAAATGTTGTGATTTAACCATTTTTTTTTATTATTTGAAAGATGAGCTTGAAATGGTCATGGTGAAATTAACTCAACAACCAACCAAAAATACACTCGTATGTTTTTGTCATCTTGACCTCCCGAGTGGCGCAGTGGTCTAAGGCACTGCATCGCATTGCTAGCTGTGCCACTAGAGATCCTGGTTCGAATCCAGGCTCTGTCATAGCCGGCCGCGACCGGGAGACTCATGGGGCGGCGCACAATTGGCCCAGCATCGTCCAGGGTATGGGGAGGGAATGGCCGGCAGGGATGTAGCTCAGTTGGTAGAGCATGGAGTTTGCAACGCCAGGGTTGTGGGTTCGCTTCCCACGGGGGGCCAGTATGAAAAAAATAAAAAATAATGTATGCACTCACTAACTGTAAGTCGCTCTGGATAAGAGCGTCTGCTAAATGACTAAAATGTAAATGTAAAAATGTATGTATTACGTTGTATTTATAAATTGTATATGCAGGCCTCCCTCATAAAATAGATCTACATCTCAATGAGACTCCCTGCTAAAATAAAGGTGAAAAATAACATGTTTTAGCTTCCTTAATGAACCAGAAAATCGATAGTTATTTCGGGTTGTTTATCAAAGTTGGCTGGGTAACTCATTGATCCGAAGGGGGGTACACTACAAAGCCGGATCAATGCGTTAGCCAGGTAACTTTGATTAGCAACCAAAAATAATTAGATTTTCTGGTTCATTTTTTAAAATAAAAAGCTAAACTTTGTAGTATACCCCTCAGGGTCCCAATCGGTTTCGCCTTCTTTCAAACCCCTTTGAGTACTGGGGGCTGGTCCAGAAAGCTGGATCAGTGAGTTTGGCCAGCTGTCCAAAGTCCCTTTGAAATAACTGAATATTTTTGAGGAATTAAAATTGACATGGTATAATTATCTTATACAAATGTAGCTTTTTTTTTTTAAAAGGTTCAATGCAGCATTTTTTAAAATCTCGATATCAAATAATTTCTGGGTAACAATTAAGTACCTTCCTGTGATTGTTTTCAATTAAAATGGCCAAAAAGAAACAAAAGTAGCTTCTTAGCAAAGAGCAATTTCTCAAGCAAGAATTTTGCTAGGACTGTCTGAGTGGGGGAGGACAAGCTGTTATTGGCAGAGAGGTTTGGAACTCTTTCTTATTGGTCTACTAACTAATTGAATGCCTGGTGATGTCACCAGGGAGGCCAAAACTCCATCCCACCAAAACAGGCTGACATTTCAGGCGGTGTTTTCAAACAGCTCTTACACTAAAAGGGCATTTTATAATTTTCAAAATATTATTCCAACCTCAGTGTGGAACTACAGTGTGTGTATATATAAAACACAGGAAAAACAACGTGTTTGACTTCAGTAGGCCTTTAATCAACCAGAAAATCATGAGGTACATGTGACTATAAAAGTTAGTTGACTAATTGTCATGCTTTCTCGAATACTCCGCTTGTCTCGAATACTCCGCTTGGTTCAAATCTAAGGTCTATCCTGACAGACTCCTTCCTCTCTGTGGGCTTTAGTACTGAGGTCTATCCTGACAGACTCCTCTCTGTGGGCTCTAGTACTGAGGTCTATCCTGACAGACTCCTCTCTGTGGGCTCTAGTCATTGGAAATGACTCAAAGAACAAACCTGTGGTTTAGCTTTACCCTCATATCTACTGCCATTAGCCCTGTGGGATATTACTGCAGAACATTACTAATAATAAATATCTACTGCCATTAGCCCTGTGGGATATTACTGTAGAACATTACTAATAATAAATATCTACTGCCATTAGCCCTGTGGGATATTACTGTAGAACATTACTAATAATAAATAGCTACTGCCATTAGCCCTGTGGGATATTACTGTAGAACATTACTAATAATAAATATCTACTTCCATTAGCCCTGTGGGATATTACTGTAGAACATTACTAATAATAAATAGCTACTGCCATTAGCCCTGTGGGATATTACTGTAGAACATTACTAATAATAAATATCTACTGCCATTAGCCCTGTGGGATATTACTGTAGAACATTACTAATAATAAATAGCTACTGCCATTAGCCCTGTGGGATATTACTGTAGAACATTACTAATAATAAATAGCTACTGCCATTAGCCCTGTGGGATATTACTGTAGAACATTACTAATAATAAATAGCTACTGCCATTAGCCCTGTGGGATATTACTGCAGAACATTACTAATAATAAATATCTACTGCCATTAGCCCTGTGGGATATTACTGCAGAACATTACTAATAACTCAATCTGCCTCTTCTCTCTCTACCACTCCTTCACTATAGTGGTCCAAAGCCAGTACAGTGCATTCAGAAAGTATTCAGACCCCTTGACTTTTTCCCCTCATTTTGTTACGTTACAGCCTTATTCTAAAATGGATTAAATCTACACACAATACCTCATAATGACAAGGGGAGAAAAAACACATTTTTAGACCTTTCTGCAGATGTATAAAAAAACTACTGAAATATGACATTTACATAAGTATTAAGACCCTTTACTCAGTACTTTGTTGAGGCACCTTGACACACCTGTATTTGGGGAGTTTCTCCCATTCTTCTCTGCAGATCCTCTCAAGCTCTGTCAGGTTGGATAGGAGTGTCGCTGCACAGGTATTTTCAGGTTTCTTCAGAGATGATCGGGTTCAAGTCCGGGCTCTGGCTGGGCCACTCAAGGACATTCAGAGACTTGTCCCAAATCCACTCCTGCGTTGTCTTGGCTGTGTGCTTAGGGTTGTTGTCCTGTTGGAAAGTGAACCTTCACCCCAGTCTGAGGTCCTGAGCGCTCTGGAGCAGGTTTTCATCAATGATCTCTCTGTACTTTACTCAGTTCATCTTTCCCTCGATCCTGACTAGTCTCCCAGTCCCTGCCGCTGAAAAACATCCCCACAGCATGATGCTGCCGCCACCATGCTTGAACGTAGGGATTGTGCCAGGTTTCCTCCAGACGTGACGCTTGGCATTCAGGCCAAAGAGTTCAATCTTGGTTTCATCAGACCAGAGTCCTTTAGGGGCCTTTTGGCAAACTCCAAGCGGGCTGTCACGTGCCTTTTACTGAGGAGTGGCTTCCGTCTGGTCACTCTACCATAAAGGCCTGATTGGTGGAGTGCTGCAGAGATGGTGGTCCTTCTGGAAGGTTCTCCCATCTCCACAGAGGAACTCTAGAGCTCTGTCAGAGTGACCATCGGGTTCTTGGTCACCTCCCTGACCAAGGCCCTTCTCCCCCGATTGCTGTTTGGCCGGGCGGCCAGCTCTAGGAAGAGTCTTTGTGGTTCCAAACTTCTTCCATTCTTCTCTGCAGATCCTCTCAAGCTCTGTCAGGTTGGATGGGGAGCGTTGCTGGCCAGCTATTTTCAGGTCTCTCCAGAGGTGTTCGATCAGGATCAAGTCCGGGCTCTGGCTGGGCCACTCCAGGACATTCAGAGACTTGTCCCGAAGCCACTCCGGCATTGTCTTGTCTGTGTGCTTAGGGTCGTTGTCCTGTTGGAAGGTGAACCTTCACCCCAGTCTGAGGTCCTGAGCACTCTGGAGCAGGTTTTCATCAAGAACCTCTCTGTACTTTGCTCCGTTCATATTTCCCTCTATCCTGACTAGTCTCCCAGTCCCTGCCGCTGAAAAACATCCCCACAGCATGATGCTGCCACCACCATGAATCACCGTAGGGATGGTGCCAGGTTTCCTCCAGACTTGACGCTTAGCATTCAGGCCAAAGAGTTCAATATTGGTTTCTTCAGACCAGAGAATCTTGTTTTTCATGATCTGAGAGTCCTTTAGGTCCACATAGGAACTCTGGAGCTCTGTCAGAGAGACCATTGGGTTCTTAGGTCACCTCCCTGACCAAGGCCCTTCTCCCCCCGATTGCTCAGTTTGGCCGGGTGGCCAGCTCTAGGAAGAGTCTTGGTGGTTCCAAACTGGCCAACGTGTTCTTGGGAACCTTCAATGCTGCAGACATTTTCTTGTACCCTTCCCCAGATCTGTGCCTCAACACAATCCTGTCTCGGAGCTTTCCTTCGACCTCATGGCTTGGTTTTTGCCCTGACATGCACTGTCAACTGTGGGACCTTATATAGACAGGTGTGTGCCTTTTTACAAATCATGTCCAATCAATTGAATTTACCACAGGTGGACTCCAATCAAGTTGTAGGAACATCTCAAGGATGATCAATGGAAACAGGATGCACCTGAGCTCAATTTCGAGTCTGATAGCAAAGGGTCTGAATACTTAAGTAAATAAGGTATTTATGTTTTTAATTTTTGATAAATTAGCACCAAAAAAATGAAAAACCTGTTTGCTTTGTCATTTATGGGGTATTGTGTGTAGGTTGAGGGAAAACATTCATTTGATTCAATTTTAGAAGAAAGCTGTACCATAACAAAATGTGGAAAAAGTCTGAATACTTTCCGAATGCAATGTATATATCAACTTCTGTACACTATCTAGTCACCTAATAACTCAATCTCTCCTGCTTCCTCTCTCTCTCTCTCCTCTTCCTGCAGTGCGTTTGTCATGGACGAGTTCAAGAGGAAGTACTCTAACGAGGACACCCTGACCGTAGCCGTTCCCCACTTCTGGGAACACTTTGACAAGGAGGGCTACTCCATCTGGTACGGAGAGTACAAATACCCAGAGGAGCTCACCATGACCTTCATGAGCTGCAACCTCATCATGGGTGAGATGGCTACCACAGCCAACCATAGGCTGTACACACACAGATCTACACAGCCAACCATAGGCTGTACACACACAGATCTACACAGCCAACCATAGGCTGTACACACACAGGTCCACATCTCCCACTGACCCCATGACCTTCATGACCTGTAACCTCATCAGATGTAGAATACACAGAGCCGTAGCTCCACACACATCAGACCTTAGAAAGTAGTGACACGTGGAAGTCATACTGTAAGTGACAGTTATGTAGACGCGTCAAAGGGCCGACTCGACAGGAAAGGTCCGACTTCCTTGCGAATCTCACTTTTCACGCGGCGTTGGCGCCAATGTATTTAGAGTCAAGGATTCCACACGTAGCGAACATTGTCAAAAAACGGAATGTCGTAGTCTTGTGTTCTAAGAGCTGCTTCATCTTTCAGGAATGTTCCAGCGACTTGACAAACTCCGGAAGAACGGCTTTGCCAGCGTGATCCTGTTCGGCGGGAACAACGACAGTAGCATTTCTGGAATCTGGATCTTCAGAGGACAGGACTTAGCTTTCACTGTGAGTTTCTGTTTTCCCCTTGGGGGGCTGTTTGGGGTGGAAGGTCATTTAGTAGACAATTATTGTCCGTTGTTCCCCTGTGGAATAATAAAGCTGACTGAAGTGAACGTCTTGGCGAGACACTGGGGACCGGTTTCCCAGACATAGATTAAGCATAGTCCAGGATTAAACATTTTAATTTCCCTTGACCAAGCTTTTTAATCCTGGACTGAAGTTAGCCTGTGTCTGGGAAACTGGCCCTAGGGGAATCAGAGAGAGGTGGGAGGGCTACTGCAGTTCTGAATTGAGAACGTGCTCTAGGAGAACCCTGTTCTACAACCATATACATTTGAGTGATTTGGTTGATCTTGATATAGTCTCACCAAGGATTTATAAACCCTACAGGTTAATTCTTCTGTCCCAATATTGGGAATGTTGTTAATTCAATGATTGTATGCTTGCGTTTAGTTGACCACCTATAATCTCTCCCTCTGTGTAGCTGTCTGATGACTGGCAGATTGATTACGAGTCTTACGCCTGGCGCAAACTGGACCCCGACAGCGCCGAAACCAAGACCATGGTCAAGGAGTACTTTGCTTGGGAGGGAGAGTTTAAACATGTGGGTAAACCCTTTAACCAGGGCAAGTGCTTCAAGTGAGCAGCGGTGGAGGATGAAGGCACCATGGCCGGGATACGTCCTCCGCTGTACGTCAACACCTTTAACCTGAGGACATTCAACACCTTAAAACTGCACTTGGACCTTCTCAAACTGATCTTCAGTTGGAGTGGATTGTGTCTCAATGGTCCAAAAGAAGTGGTTGTTTTGAGTTGACAAATAAACATGTTTTCCACAATGCCATTTTCTGGATTTGTTTTTGGTGATAGAATTTCCCAAAAAGTAATGGTAGATGACTTGTATTAGTTTAGACTATTTTTGTTGCCTTGTTGTATCCCATCAACTAGCTACACCGTTTTAAGCCTGAATCTCCTTTCAGTTCGAGCCAGAGTGCCAGTGTGTTTGTCCCTTGTCAGTCGTCGTCATGTTGGGCTTAACAATGAGCAGTGGATTTGGCAAGAGCACAAACTGACCTGGGAGCAGGCTAATTCAGTGAAAGTATTCAGATATTTTATTCTGTTTTGGTGTAGCAATCATGGAGCTGATATCTGGACATGGAATAAAGGGTTAAATTGCTGCCCATAAATTAATTGGTTGCGTACATTATAGCCTTTTTAATGTGGTGAAAAAATAAATAATTGAACATCTACAGTCTCCTGACCCTCGACCTCATGATTCTCCTGACCCTCGACCTCATGATTCTCCTGACCCTCGACCTCATGATTCTCCTGACCCTCGACCTCATGATTCTCCTGACCCTCGACCTCATGATTCTCCTGACCCTCGACCTCATGATTCTCCTGACCCTCGACCTCATGATTCTCCTGACCCTCGACCTCATGATTCTCCTGACCCTCGACCTCATGATTCTGTGCATACAGTGAGTCTGTTCCAAATCTGACCTTATTCCTTATACAGGGTGCTGCTTTTGACCAGGGATCATAGGGTGTAATTTGGGATGTGACCTGTATATATTCAGAGTAAATACCAACCTTTTCCGAACTAATGAGAATAATTGCATATGATTTCATGAAACTAAGCTTTTAGAAAAATAATTTGATTTCATCGGGATACATCTAAATTCATTTGGATACATCAAAAGGTTTTTTGAAGTTTCTAAATTACTCAGACTTGTCTGGAGCTAGTTTCAACACAAGGGCTACAAAATGGCAGCTTTGGTATTTAAATTAGCAATACTTTTTGGGGGTAGATGGGTGGGTCAAAATGGTGATGGTGCAGTATTTTCTTTGTCCTCCAGGGGACATACAAACCCTTGGATTAGATCCTTTTAGTCATGTAGTGTATGTGAACACCTTGTCGAACATCTCATTCCGAAGTCATGGGCATTAATATGGAGTTGATCCCCCCCCCCCCCCCCTTTCCTGCTACACTATATGTACAAAAGTATGTGGACACCCCTTCAAATTGGTGGATTCACCTATTTCAACCGCACCCGTTGCTGACAGTTGTATAAAATTGAGCACACAGCCATGCAATCTCCATAGGAAACATTGGCAGTAGAATGGCCTTACTGAAGAGCTCTGTTACGTTCAATGTGGCACCGTCATAGGATGCCATCTTTCCAACAAGTCAGTTCATAAATTGGTGCCCCGGTTAACTGTAAGTGCTGTTATTGTGAAGTGGGAACATCTAGGAGTAACAACGGCTCAGCCGCGAAGTGGTAGGCCACACAAGCTCACAGAACGGGACCGCCGAGTGCTGTAGCGTGTAAAAATCTGTCCTCGGTTGCAACACTCATTCACTACCGAGTTCCAAACTGCCTCTGGAAGCAACGTCAGCACAAGAACAGTTCGTCGGGAGCTTAATTAAATGGGTTTCCATGGTCGAGCAGCCGCACACAAGCTAAAGATCGCCAAGCATCGGCTGGAGTGGTGTAAAGCTCACCGCCATTGGACTCTGGAGCAGTGGAAACGCGTTCTCTGGAGTGATGAATCACGCTTCATCATCTGGCAGTCCGACTGACGAATCTGGGTTTGGCGGATGCCAGGAAAATGCTGTTAGTTCCAGTGAAGGGAAATCTTAACGCTACAGCATACAATGACATTCTAGACGATTCTGTGTTTCCAACTTTGTGGCAACAGTTTGGGGAAGGCCCTTTCCTGTTTCAGCATGACAATGCCCCCGTGCACAAAGCGAGGTCCATACAAAAATGGTTTGTCAAGATCGGTGTGGAAGAACTTGACTGGCCTGCACAGAGCCCTGACCTCAACCCCATCGAACTCCTTTCTCATTTCAATAGCTCTTTGGTCATGTGACCTACAACCCTCAAACTACTTTCAGAAATACACTGACTACCCTTCTACATTGCACACTCTTTAGTTTGTCCATTTTCATCTCATACGATTGTACATGAATTTTTCACAATTTTTTCCATTTCAATAGCTCCTTGGTCATGTGACCTACTGACATTAAACATGGTTCATAATGTACACTCAGTGGGCCTACACATTGCACACCCTTTAGTTTGTCCATTTTCATCTCACGCGGTTTTACATGTTTTTTTTTTTTTTTTTACGTTTTCGATTTAAATAGTTCCCTGGTCATGTGACCTACCGCCCTAAAACATGCTTTAGATTGTCCTCTCACTATGCCTTGTCTACACACCCTGTCTACTTTCATCTCACGCTATTATTAGACTTACATCTGTAAGCCTGAGACCCAGTAGGTGTGGACATTGCTGCACAGTGGACACCCACACTCAGAAGAATTCATTGATTATCTGGCCACCGTTATTGTGGTTACATGTTCAGTATATGTTTTTTGACCAGCAAGCCTACTGCAGCCTACCTTACTGGCCGTGCAGTTCACTCTCCATCCCTGCTTTGGACAATTCATAATATGACTCTCGTACTTTGCCCTTTGCCCTTTATGGTTGATATTAACGATGAAAGAAGATTCTCTCCTATTGTGTACCGCTGTTAAATACTGTGTGGCAAAATAAAGACGTAAGGAAAGGGAAAAGAAGTACTCAGAACTACCAATTATTATAGATAAATATTAAGAAAACACTGGACTGAACCCCCTAATTGTCAAACTAATATTCATGTACAACAATATAGAAGATCCATAACTAGAGGTTGTGCAATATGGGTATGTACAGTTGAAGTCGGAAGTTTACATACACTTAGGTTGGAGTCATTAAAACTTGTTTTTCAACCACTCCACAAATTTCTTGTTAACAAACTATAGTTTTGGCAAGGCGGTTAGGACATCTACTTTGTGCATGACACAAGTAATTTTTCCAACAATTGTTTACGGACAAATTATTTCACTTATAATTCACTGTATCACAATTCCAGTGGGTCAGAAGTTTACATACACTAAATTTACTGTGCCTTTAAACAGCTTGGAAAATTCCAGAAAATGATGTCACGGCTTTAGAAGCTTCTGATAGGCTAATTGACATCATTTGAGTCAATTGGAGGTGTACCTGTGGATGTATTTCAAGGCCTACATTTAAACTCAGTGCCTCTTTGCTTGACATCATGGGAAAATCAAAATAAATCAGCCAAGACCTCATCAAAAGAATTGTAGACCTCCACAAGTCTGGTTCATCCTTGGGAGCAATTTCTAAACGCCTGAAGGTACCACGTTCATCTGTACAAACAATAGTACGCAAGTATAAACACCATGGGACCACACAGCCGTCATACCGCTCAGGAAGGAGACGCGTTCTGTGTCCTAGAGATGAACGTACTTTGGTGCGAAAAGTGCAAATCAATCCCAGAACAACAGCAAAGGACCTTGTGAAGATGCTGGAGGAAACAGGTACAAAAGTATTTATATCCAAAGTAAAACGAGTCCTATATCGACATAACCTGAAAGGCCGCTCAGCAAGGAAGAAGCCACTGCTCCAAAACCGCCATAAAAAAGGCAGACTATGGTTTGCAACTGCATTTGGGGACAAAGATCGTACTTTTTAGAGAAATGTCCTCTGGTCTGATGAAACAAAAATAGAACTGTTTGGCCATAATGACCATCATTATGTTTGGAGGAAAAAGGGGGTTGCTTGCAAGCCATCCCAACCGTGAAGCACGGGGTGGCAGCATCATGCTGTGGGGGTGCTTTGCTGCAGGAGGGTCTGGTGCACTTCACAAAAGAGATGGCATCATGAGGAAGGAAAATTATGTGGATATATTGAAGCAACATCTCAAGACATCAGTCAGGAAGTTAAAGCTTGGTCTCAAATGGGTCTTCCAAATGGACAATGACCCCAAGCATACTTCCAAAGTTGTGCCAAAATGGCTTAAGGACAACAAAGTCAAGGTATTGGAGTGGCCATCACAAAGCCCTGACCTCAATCCTATAGAAAATGTTTGGGCAGAACTGAAAAAGCGTGTGTGCGAGCAAGGAGGCCTACAAACCTGACTCAGTTACACCAGCTCTGTCAGGAGGAATGGGCCAACATTCACCCAACTTATTGTGGGACGCTTGTGGAAGGCTACCCGAAACGTTTGACCCAAGTTAAACAATTTAAAGGCAATGCTACCAAATACTAATTGAGTGTATGTAAACTTCTGACCCACTGGGAATGTGATGAAAGAAATTAAAGCTGAAATAAATCATTCTCTCTACTATTATTCTGACATTTCACATTCTTAAAATAAAGTGGTGATCCTAACTGACCTAAAACAGGGATTTTTTACTAGGATTAAATGTCAGGAATTGTGAAAACAATTAAATGTATTTGGCTAAGGTGTATGCAAACTTCCGACTTCATCTGTATCCACTGCACACATCTTAGGTGTGTAATTGACATGCCCAAGGAGCTATTGAAATTCATTGAAAAATGTACATAACGCCATGTGAGATTACAGGACACAAACAAGAGTGTGCAATATATCAAATCAAATCAAATCAAATGTTATTGGTCACATGCGCCGAATACAACCGGTGCAGACATCACAGTGAAATGCTTACTTACAGCCCTTAACCAACAGTGCATTTATTTTTAACAAAAAAAGTAAAAATAAAACAACAACAAAAAAAGTGTTGAGAAAAAAAAAGAGCAGAAGTAAAATAAAATAACAGTAGGGAGGCTATATATATACAGGGGGGTACCGGTGCAGAGTCAATGTGCGGGGGCACCGGCTAGTTGAGGTAGTTGAAGTAATATGTACATGTGGGTAGAGTTAAAGTGACTATGCATAAATAATTAACAGAGTAGCAGCAGCGTAAAAAGATGGGGTGGGGGGGCAGTGCAAATAGTCCGGGTAGCCATGATTAGCTGTTCAGGAGTCTTATGGCTTGGGGGTAGAAGCTGTTGAGAAGTCTTTTGGACCTAGACTTGGCACTCCGGTACCGCTTGCCGTGCGGTAGCAGAGAGAACAGTCTATGACTAGGGTGGCTGGAGTCTTTGACAATTTTGAGGGCCTTCCTATAAGGCTAGTCTGTGGACATTCTGAAGTTTGTTTGAGGTCAGTAGGTCACATGACCAAGGAGCTATTGAAATTCGAAACAGTGAAAAACTGAAAAATTCATGTAAAATCGTCTGAGATGAAAATGGACAAACAAAAGGGTGTGTGCAATATACAAGGCTAGTCAGTGGATATTCTGAAAGTAGTTTGAGGGTTGTAGGTGATAGGACAAAGGAGTCATTGAAATTTGAAACTTTTAAATATTATCGTAAAGTC